GAAATCTTTTTTGCTGTACACAGTCGTCCAGCATCCAGTGGATGGTTTGCCACTCATTTTATGGTGTAATAAAGTACTATGCGATGAATAGTGAAACGATGGCAAAACCAACAAGTCATCTCTCCTTTTAAACTGACTTGACTATTCTATGTCAGGAATGTGTGCTTTGAAACAGTCCCGGGCTCATAAGAACTGGAGTTCCTGGTTAAAATTAGTGAGACTTACGTGTCAAATATTTTTAACGGCCTTGGGTTGGTCGTATGGGGGATCTCATTAGCAATCAAGTAATAGAAAGGTGGTGCTTACTTAGCACGGGGGTTCGCGGGAAAGAAAAGACTGAATAGGAGGGTACTTGTGCTTGGTATTGCTTCAAGCCATTGAAAACGCCCCCGTTGGGGCTGGACAGCAACCAAATGTTTCTGGCCATGTGTTTGTGATACATGTGCTACGCTTTTGAAGGCCGATGGGCGCCTGAGGTAGATAAGGATTAGAATTTTGCACAAGAGAAATTTAGGTCAATATCGCAAGATGTTTCATTCTTAGTTACAAAGTATAAGCAAATTATGAATCTATAAAAAAGAGACAAGACTATGATAATTGGTTTCTGGCCCCATGCTTCTTTGTTACAATTCATATCACATGCACCCGAGCAAGCGATCAGTTTTTTTTTATTTTACACCCGTCTCAAAGATTTGCTTTATTCCTTACGCACCGGGTTTTGCAAGAGGAAATACCCTTAAACGTTAAAGCAAGTCCTTTATCGCGTACCGATGCTGAACAGGGCATTGCCGCGCCTCGAATGTCTCAAAATAAAGTATGATTGCCCTCTAGGTAGCAGCGTGCAAAGACGGGGACATTTGGCTTGATATCATGGGGCGTAGCGCAAAGGTCGCTGATGACATTGCAACCATGACTATGCCGAGACCGGTTGGCAACACATTAAGCAACTGGTCATTTAACAGCAGATATTATTTGAAGAAACGAAAAGATATTGGCCCATTAAAGGAATTGAATAGCTAATAATAAGGGCGTGCTCAGAAAGGTAACGTTATTATATCAAAGGATTAAGAATTTTGGATCACGACGGAGACGGTCAATGAGAATGCGCTGGATACTTTGCTGTGGACGCTGTCCGACTTCTATCTTCGAATGCTTGGTTGTAGATCTATTGCATTATTATGGCAGACACATCCGAAAGCTAAATAAACCTAGCAAGGTAAAGCCCATGTGCTTAAGATGGACAAAGGTATGCAAACTCACGAGAAGTCAAAAGGAGTGTAGCTGTACCTTAAATCTTTCATAAAAAAGGAATCCTCGTTCCTACTCTTATTACAAAGTAAATTACTTAATTTCCGAAGAAGTTTTTCTATATATATTCACACTGGCACGGCTCGAACGCACCAGATAGCTTTTCAATTGTGATTCCAACAAAATTCTGTCGTTAGGTCGTGTCACTTAAAAAATAATTACATAAATTATTCCAGTGATAGCTACGAATCTATGCCCTATAGTCAAACATCTTCAAGACCACAATTGAATAATTTTCTTTTACGTGGAAATTTATAAAAAGGGAATTTGGAAGTCGATGAGTATATGCACCTAGCTAAACATAATTCTATTAGCGCCGGCTTAAACGTTTAAGGAAAAGGTTCGCACCATTGAGTCCTCGCAAACAGCAATGCATTTAATGCGTAAAACTAAGTGATCCAAGGAAGATGTGCACTATTATTGCCACCTATTATTATTTCGATCTGAAAGACCTTCCTTCAGACATCGGTCGCCATTCAACATTTAAGTTGGCGGACACTAAAGATCTCACCTTAAGCCAGAGCTTTTGCTTGGCTAATGCCGTCGGGATACACTAGTTTGCTGATTGATTACCAGAGCCGATGTCATTACCAACATCCGGGACTACACCGCCCCCAAGGTGACCAACAGCGTCAATATTACGTTGCCCAATACCAGATTTGATACTATCGCCGAGATCTGGTCATGAGTCACTTCCAGTTATATCACCACTCAGTTAGTACTTACGTGCCATCATCCCACGCTTATCAAATAGGCGTCGCCCTTGATGACTTGGTGTGTCACCAACAATGTAATGACTGACATCCAGTGTGTCGCAATCATGGCCATCATCGCTCACCAGGTAATTAAGTGCCTCCACGCTCACCTGATGGGCTCAACCCATGTTGACGTGGCTCTAGGCCAACAATGCGTTTAGCATTCAGTGATTCGCTAACAAAACGATCATCACTCGACGGAGTACGTGCCGTCTCGCTGACAGTCAACGAGCTTGGATCGTAATAACTGCCAGTTTGACTTTGTCCCACTAAGTAAGTTCAGCCATACCGATGTCCAGTACACTGAATGTCTCAGTCCGTGGCTCGCGCAAATAGAGCTTCTGTTTCCTAGCAGAGGTGGGATCATGACTCTACAAAGCTCCACTTGGAACAGTGCGCGTTCCGCCCAAGGTATTTTATCTCCAATCAATCCATGGCTCGTGGCTTTCTAGTCAAGCCATACCAAGAATGAGGTAATGTCTCTCATCTCATTCAAGGACTGCACAGTGTTCGATACTGTCAAAGTCCGAAAAATAAATGCTCAATTTTACAGTTATATTTGGTAACAGTGACCAATGCACCTGTCGCCAAGCGAACAGTGATAGTCTTATTCTTTCGCGCTTTCAGCGCCTCAGAATAGTGCTGGCTTCCGTTCAGAGAATAACGTCGGGCGTAAGTCTCAGATGCCCCGGAGTCGATCAACATTGACCATGGCTTATCGAAGCCCTTTACTGTTGCTTTTGCAGCAAACAAGCTTGGATTGTATTCATGCTCGTGACATTGCTCACAAAGCCACTTGAGGCTAGGCCCTGTTCCCCATCACCTCCCAAAGGTTAAACAGAGCCCATTACCTCCCCATCAGGGCGCCCCGCGCCTACTGGGACTCGACATTTTCCCGCGACTTACCGACTCGCTGGTTAGTGACGGGATGTCGGCTCGAATGAGCCTGTCCGGTCCTATTCAAAGGACAATCGAGGCGTAGATGTTCGATGCTCCCGCACTTAAACATATACGGATGTGGGAACGCTGTTCGGCAGCATGAAGCTCAGCTTCTTCGTATATCTTAGCGGGACAAAAACATATGGGTTCTCTTGTGTCCACATGAGCATAGCTCGACGAGTTCGAATGGAAACCATGAGTCTTGTAATGGGCAGCTTTTTTGAAGCTGAACGATGCGTTCAGCGCCATGTCCATGCACCCCTAATGGCACGGGCTGCGAACGAAACACTTCTGTTCTGGCAACGCCCGTGCAAAGACCCTCCCTGAAAATGGGTATTAGAACCGTCTCAGGTAAAGGGTCAGGCTGCATAGCAGCGATTGGGGCTCGCAACTTTTGCACATAGTCGACTAGGTCTCTTTTTTCCTATCAGGTCGACAGAGATCGTGATCTTACGCTTTATGCCTCATTAGGCGAGGCAAACACCCGAGACAGCTGCTGTTTTTGTATTCCCCAGGTGAAAAAAACCTATTCTATCGAGGTCCCGGAAGTGAAGGCCCAGTCTCTGGCTCACCCACCTAACTTCGATAAATCCAGGCCCTCTTTTCGTAGCTCTGACCGCAGCAGATCCAAGCTGATGGCAACTTTCATCTCACGAAATCACAAAAGGAGATTTCTCCCTCTTCCCCCTCAAAAATCTTGATACTTAAGGATAGAGGATGAGTTCGAATCAGTGTCCGGTATTGGAACATACCGAGTGGGCATGACGGATGCCAAATGGCCATGGACCTGTCCGATTAGCGTGGATTTAAAGTTCGAGAAGGTGTCGAGACGTGCGCGAAGTGCGTCCGGGCCTTGTGCCACTGTAAGAGCCACTTGATCGTGCCCGGTCAACGCCCTAGTCTTCTCAAACGTTAATTACTGGGCCTCGGAGAGGTTCATGGTCGTTTCCATCCTCGCAAAGTATTTAGTCCGTAATGACTCAGGTGTAGATTGACTGGCTACAAGTGCTATCACTTACACAAAAGTGAACGCCTTGACAAGGCGTACGACGCTTAACAGCACTAGGCCTTTAATAGGCACTCGTGTTCTCAGATTTTAAAGGGGACTGAACTTTATTTATTCCTTTAGTTTCATTTATAAAACTTTAAAACCTTGCCTGACTGACTCCTACGTTGCGATCTCATGACAGAAGCCTGATCCCTTATCCTTACCCGATAAGGTGCGGTATTACCGTAAGTACGTGGTACCAAGACAGTACCACTCAGGTCCGCCGATCGTTACTTGGTGTGGACACGCAACATCACCGGTTCAATAACCGCGTGTAACCCCGTTGCAATAACTGATGGGGTACGGTGTTTTCGTTTAGCGTTTCTGATACAAAAGTACATCTTATAAGTGACACTGACCTCTTTCTGTGTGTACCACACCAGCGTGCCTGATTGTCACAACCGCAGGTGTGACCCCGTGACAATTACTCTCTACCTAATGTTTTCTTAAAAGCCACCAGGATGCTACTAATGCCTACAAAACCTTCGGCTCGATCTTTGCAACGCGCCCAGCACTGAATTCATCCTTGAATTAGGGTTCAGGTGATTTTACATCGAATAAATCCACAGTGCGTTGCACGTAGCTCATTATACCAGCTCAAGACGATCTAGAAACATATTTAAACGGTGCCATTGCCCTAACTGGCTACAACTTATAGCATAAAGTCGCAGCCGTCGAACGAGCTCCGTAGGCGTAAAACTTAGCACCTTGCCACTACACAAAAAGTCGGCAGACGATTAGTTACTATAAGGGAGCACGACACTTTTTGCCACATCCATCTCACGATCGTAACAATTTCTTTCGCTTTCGAATTAACAAACGTAATCGTCATTTTTTGATCAATAAATTGACCACATTCCAGCCACACACTGTCGGTGTTTCTACTATAGTCACTCTTCCGAGGTCCCGAGTCTGCGTACGTTGAGACGACACAAGTTGGCTCCTCAAAGATGCTACGACGTCTTCCTCGGTCTCTATCTCACCTCTCTCTGTCTATGTACCCATCTCACTTCTCTATGTACTGTTATGTTCTAGCTTGCACCAGCTACTGGCGTCTCGAACCTGGACCCGCACGAGGCCATGGTCTCATTGGCCTAGCCTCATTCCTATCCAGAGCTCGCCGTGCTATTTCTATTCCACAGTATCTAAGTCTAAAGAAGACAAAACAGAGCATCCCGTTACTTCAGAAGTAAAGGTACGTTTTAAGGCTGCTGTTATGCTGAGTTTCGTACTTCTATTCATTTACTTAAAATACTTGATTGTTGTTGGTACGTTTTTATTTTTGTTTACTGGTGGTTTATTTGTAGGACGTTGCACATGTGGTACCGACTCGTACGTCCAACCAAGATGGAGTGCGCAAATTGCTGTCACTCTACCATCCAGAGAAGAAGTCACTGGTTCTCTCCATCTCGGCTCTGGGCGTCTCGACGTTCATCACTATGTGCGTGCCATACGGAATGGGCAAAGTCATTGATGTCGTTACGGCAAGCACTGCTGCTGCAATGCCGTTGTCTACAGTTATGATGCTACTGGGAAGTCTCTTTGCTGCTGGGTCAATTGCAAATGTTATCCGAGTGGACACTAGCAACATGATTGGCGAGAGGATCACCAATAAGTTGAGACGGGACACATATGCGTCGATATTGCTGCAAGAAATGGGATTCTTTGACGCGTCGAGAACAGGTGAGCTGCTCAACAGGTTGAGTGCAGATACGACGCTGATTGGGAAAGTTCTAAGTGACAATACGGCAAGTGGACTGCGCAGCGCTGGACAGGCGCTAGGAAGCGTCACAATGATCTTTATCACGTGTCCACAACTAGCCATGGTCATGTTGTCGGTCGTCCCGCCTATTGCGCTTGGTGCGGTGAGTTATGGACGGTATGTGAAAAAGTTGACGACGGAGGTGCAAACACAGCTAAGTGAAGCCACTGAAGTGGCTGAAGAGAAATTAAGCAATATTCGTGTGGTTCGATGGTTTGCAAAGGAGCCACATGAGGTGGAGGCTTACCGAAAAAAGATCGATGACGTGTTAGCACTAGCGCGCAAGCGCTCTCTTGCTAGTGCTACCTTTTTCGGTGGTGTAGATTTTGGAGTAAAATTAAGCATGGTTTGCGTTTTCGGCTACGGGGGACAAATGGTGGTAGAGGGATCACTTACGAGTGGCGAGCTTACTTCATTCTTGCTGTACACAGTGTACGTAGGGTTCTCCTTTGCTGGCATGTCCTCCTTCTATGCTGAATTGATGAAAGGCATCGGAGCATCCTCGCGCGTGTTTGAGCTGCTGAACCGCCGACCTAAAATTTTGAGTCCTGAAGGAGGATGGAGTCGGCTCCCGGAGCCATTTTATGGCCATATACAGTTTAAAGACGTTGAGTTTGCATATCCAACTCGTCTGGATGCAAAGATTTTCCGCGGACTTAATCTGGAGGTGCTGCCAAATGAAACGTTGGCGCTCGTGGGTGGTAGTGGATGTGGCAAGTCGTCGGTGATGTCGTTGCTTGCGCGCTTTTACGAGTTAGATGGCCCTGGGTGCGGTGGAAAAATCACACTGGATGGTGCAGACATCTCCACACTGAACCCTACAGAGATCCGTGGTTTGATGGGCTCTGTGCCACAAGAGCCACCGCTTTTTGCTTGCTCCATTCGGGATAATATTGCTTACGGCTGTCGGGAAGGAGAAGACGTTCATTTCGAGGACATCATCGGTGCAGCTAAAACTGCAAATGCACATGACTTTATCATGTCATTTCCACATGGGTATGACACAATTGTAGGAGAGCGAGGTCAAGCACTCTCAGGGGGCCAGAAGCAGAGGGTGGCAATTGCTCGTGCACTCGTCAAGCGTCCCCAAATTCTTATCCTGGATGAAGCGACCTCGGCTTTGGACATCGAGAGTGAGAAACTGGTACAAGATGCTGTGCACCGCGCTAAGCAAGGCCGTACCGTGATTTTAGTGGCACATCGATTATCCACCATCAAAAGTGCTGACCGCATTGCTGTAATCTCAGACGGTCGCGTTGTAGAGCAAGGCACATTTGCTCAGCTTGCCGGTCGTACAAACAGCACGTTCAATCAAGTTATCCTGAAAGGGCAGAACTGATGAAAAACGCTTCATGAGCTCCTGTATGAGTGCTAGTGATGTCGGATATTCGAAATCAGCACCTTCCTATATTTTACACGCGGCGGACGCAAGCATTACGCTATGACTACTCTTTTCACTCCCAATTTCCTCGATCGGACGACCAGAGTAACAATCAAAGCCGGCGCAGTCATCTAACGATTATTTCCGATACAGACTTCAGATGAATCCGAGTGGAAGATAGAAGTACAATGCGAAGGCAGACACTGGGATCGTGCATTCTTGTCCAGGTTTTGAAAAGATGGTGACATCGTTACACAGCTTAAAGGTACACCTACTCGAGGAGCGAAGTTCAATGCGGATAGATTCTCTGGTCAATAAATTGGACACTGGATTAGCTGTTGCGCGGGGTGTTTTCCAGTGTTCAAACTCTTGAGCCACTGTGCCAATCTCGAAGCTTTCCTTACAACCCCAACGACTTCTCAAGCACTTGCGAGTTCGCTTTTAAGGCGACACCAAGGCCGCAAAAACAGAAACTTGAGGCATCTATTTGCGCTACGCAACCATCGAACGGCAGCAACTACAGTGTGTGTGCCCCTACCTCCCGCCTGCCTTAAATTCTTAGCAGGATCAAAAAAACACTGACCTTCACGGGAGGTAGCCACGACCTGTTGCCACAACCAGCGGTCACATCCTAGCTCGTGACTTCTCAGAAATTAGTCACATATTAGCTTGTGCAATGAGCTGATGCAACCTATTCATCTATGGAGCCGTAGCCCTAGCTATGTGGTTCATTCAGCTGATTCTTCACCTGCTACACTACAGCTCAGAAGTACCACATCTCTGCTTGTGCGTTGTAATTATCGTGGTCAACGACAAAGAACGTGCTGTCGTAAGGTTTCGCATGAATACGCTGTCGCTATTACAACCCTTTGCGCCATCCATTCTTCTGTAGCAGCCACCAAGGCTGCACCAAACGTTGCCATTCTATCCCATCCTGTGCTTTTGCGTCATTCGCGTGACATTGCATGTCTACCCATACACTAACGACACTCGATCCGTCTTGATTGTTTTCCTGTCAAGAGACACTACAGAATACACTGAGTTAGTTGCAGTCAGCAGGATCTATGACCATGCACGGATTCGCTTGTTTCGCTGATGTCGTGCAGACAATCAGAGTAGCAGCAGCTCATCAACTCGTGTGAACACGTGCAGACAAATGGCATTGAGCTATCATGCAGAAATGCAGTCAGCTCGTACAAACCAGCAGAATTACTGGAAAGGGTCCCAGGCTGACTTCTTGAGTTCTAGTGCATCTGCTGCACTCGACACAGCAGGCGGCGACACAAAGTCGAACGGATCGTTCGATGTCGGTGGTTGCTCAATCTTCAGTCCAAAAGCCTGAGCAGGACAAGCCACGCGTGATGCCGCAGTCCCATGAGTACCCACATCCTTACAAGACACGGCGTTACGACTGTGTGTCAATACAAGCTCCGAGCTTTTCGAAGGAGCTGTAGATGCTAATGCCGTGCCGAGCTCCCCCACTGTCAAAGCGCCTTTCGACAATGCAAAAGTCGTGTTCTTGGACTCATTCAAAGCAACACCATTCGTCCGCTGTTCAAAACTTCCAGCAGTCAAGTCTCCTGCCTTCACAGCTGCAAGGCGTCCATCCAAATCCGCTTTCTTTGCCACCAGTTGTGCAGTCTGCACTTGAAGTGCTACGAGCTCTTGCGTCAAATCAGTAGCAACGTCAAGCGGATCCTTTCTACGCAAAGTCGAGTCTTGCTCCACCTCAAACGTCACTGTACGCGTCTCTTTGTCCTGTTCCTGTACACTCTGGATCTCCTGTTTGGCTGCAAGCACGTGTTGCTGCATTAAGTTTTTCAGCTCCTCGAGAGCATCCACTGCCCTTAGAACCCGGGGCACCGGGTATCCCAACTGATCCACTTGGTCCGACACCCGTTCGACGCTCGTTTTCAAATCCAGCTCAGCTTTGGCAAGCGCCTGAGAGATACTGGACAATACCTCGACTTCCTCCTGTTTCGTCCGACCCGCTGCGGTCAGGAGGTCAAGAAACGACTTTGCGTCCGCCAATGATGACGTGGCTACAAATGACACGAGCGCACCACTCGCTCGGGGTTGAGTCACAGACATGTGCTCCTCCATAGGACGTTCGGGTGTCAAGTCCAGAGTGGGGAACAAGTACTTGGGAAATGGACGGGGGATCGACTCGAGCTTGCGCTTGGTCATGCACACAATAAAGTGCATCCCCAGGACAAACTCCGTCTCGTTCACGTGGTCACTATCGCGCAAGAGCTGCAGCTCCTTGATGCGGCGATAGAGCTCCTGTACGTGGTCGAGAGAGAGACTTGACTTGCAAAAGAACTGGACAGCTGCCTTTCGAGCGAGGAGGGGAAGAGGACCGTCGGATGTTGTAAGTTTAGCAAAGAAGGCACGGTAGCGACTGCCTTCGAGGTCAATCATTGTGTAAAGGTGCGTGTCTAGGACGAGGTCGTCATGGCCTGGAGAGGTGGGGAACGACGCGAGGAACGTCATTTGGGGTCACGCACGTGTTCGACGAGTGTAAGGGCGAGCGGGAGGCTGAAAGATGGCGAGTTGTCAACTGCCGACCGAAGCTGTGGCTGTTAGTCGAACGAGACTGGCAGGTGATCGTTTGAAGTGGACGACACAGGATTACGGCAAAAGACTGGTGGTTCTGTGGCACGTGGAGGGGAGACACACGTTCAGGGGGTGGCGTTCTCGTGAGGATGGAGACAGTGCAAGGGGTTTGGATCTATGAATGAGACGGTAGTGTCGGTCGGTTTGTGTGTGTGTGGATCCGCCGGTCAATACGATGGCGGAGAAGGTGTAGTCGACTATTTTTGAAGTTTACGATGACACGGATGCAACGTTCGGGAGTGCTGAACGGTTTGCATTTGAGTGTTGTGCGGTATGTGCGGTCAAGTGTTTGTGCCATAGTGGACGGTGGATTGGAGGCAAGGCGTCATGCCATGAGAAACTGAGGGTCGAGGGTGGGCAGATAGTGTATGCTAGAGCTGTTTTGGCGCAGTAAAACGACGCCGTACATCGTTGTTTGTATTATTCTACTGACTATGGATGTCGAGACGACGGTCATCGCGTTGCTTGTATGGCTTCCGTATAGCGTATAGCAATAAACTAGTTGGGTACAGTCCAGCTTCTTTCTCTGCATGAATTGATCGATGTTCAAGCTGATGTTAATGATGCGTATAGTTCGTGCACTGAGCTTGTTTACGAAGGTCTCTCTCTGATCGACAATTGAACTCGTACTTGGACGACAGCTTCAACGAGAAGCGCTATGAGAAGTGTAATTGAAACCAGTGCATTTATAGCTTCACGCAAGCTCGTTGTTCATACCACATCAACCTTTCGTATGCTTTGATGACTCGGCATATCTGGACAACTCTGGCGGTGCATCTATAATGTTCATGACCCCGACCGACAACCGGCCTACTGTGTCTTCGATCATATCGGCGTGATCAGCTTGCGGGTCCTTGACAAAAGGACTTGGCTATTATAGACAGCTTACTTGAGACCGACACAGCGATTCAGGGTGGTCATGGAAGCCTCAACTAAGATCTGAACGACAGCTTTATCAAGGACATTCGAGGACATCATGTGGCCATCAGCCGCTTAGTTGACGCCTTCGTTGGCGCCATGATTGACTTTGAGCACTGCACTGTATATCCCTGATGGTGCTTGACCCGTACTGTAGTTTTCGTGATCGCGAAGAGCGAACTCATGTGCATTACACGGCCCGAGTCCACTATAAGCACGTGTTTGGCTATTTCATGAGCCGCACACGCTCTCTAAAATGGACACGATGGACGTCTTGTCGTCAATAGCGTCGACACGCCGTTATCCGTGGCAACCTAAAGCTTTACGAGCCATCATTGTGCGAGTGAACAACGAGTGAAAGACGTGCAAGTTTTGAGCAACCGAGTATATGGCGAGCTCGAGTTGGACGTGGCGACGGGTAAATACACGAAGAGAAAGTACGTCATTTCTCTCAACTCGTCTTAGCGTCCAGACATGATAACGTGAATGGCGGGCGGCTCGAACGATCCAGTACTGATGCGTTGCGTACTCAACAACTTTGTAAATGTAGCACGTCTCAGAACGGCCTCACTTCATGTCAACCACATCAAAACAGTCCACTCCAATGCACCGCCGGTCCCTAAGTACGCACGCCCCCCTCCGCGCCACCACCCCTCGTAATTACGCCACCACCTCTCTCTCTCTTTTTACACCACCACCACCATAATCCCCCAATCTCTCTTTAATCACTGGCGTCAACAGCATCCCGCGTCCCGCGTCCCGCCCCTCGTCCTCTAAGCCAAGCCAAGCCCGCCATGTCGATGGTCTTTGACGAGTACGGCCGGCCGTTCATCATTCTGCGCGACCAGGACCAGAAGCAGCGCCTCCACGGCGTCGACGCCATCAAGAGCAACATCCTCGCGGCCCGCACGGTCTCGAACCTCCTCCGCACATCCCTCGGGCCGCGCGGGATGGACAAGATGCTGGTCAGTCAAGACGGGGAGGTCACTATTTCGAACGACGGCGCCACGATCCTCGAGCAGATGCACATTGAGCACCGCGTCGCGCACTTGCTCGTGGAGCTGAGCAAGTCGCAGGACGACGAGATTGGAGACGGGACCACTGGCGTCGTGGTGCTGGCGGGCGCGCTGCTGGAGCAAGCGGAGAAGCTCCTGGCCCACAGGCTCCATCCCATGCGCATTGCGGACGGGTTTGAAGAAGCCTGTGACGTGGCGTGCACGCACTTGGGCGCGATTAGCGACGTGATTTGGTTCTCGGAGCACGAGACGACGCCATTGGTTGAGACGGCAATGACGACGTTGTCGTCCAAGATTGTGAACAAGCACAAGCGCCAGATGGCGCAAATTGCCGTGGATGCCGTGCTCAAAGTGGCCAATTTTGAGACGAAAGACGTGAATTTTGAGCTGATTAAGGTCGAGGGCAAACCAGGCGGCACGTTGGCCGAGACGGCACTGATTCACGGCATTGTCATTGATAAAGACTTTGCGCATCCGCAGATGCCGAAGGCAGTGAAGGATGCCAAGATGTGCATTTTGACGTGTCCGTTTGAACCGCCGAAGCCCAAGACGAAGCACAAGGTGGACATTACGAGTGTCGAAGCTTATGAACAGCTCTATAAGCAGGAACAGGAGTACTTTACGACGATGATCAAGCAGGTGAAGGAGAGTGGAGCTAACTTGGTGATTTGCCAGTGGGGCTTTGATGATGAAGCCAACCACTTGCTCTTGCAGAACGACCTGCCGGCCGTGCGCTGGGTTGGTGGAGTAGAGCTCGAGCTGATTGCGATTGCCACGGGCGGACGCATTGTACCGCGGTTCTCGGAACTCACAGCGGAAAAGCTCGGCCGGGCTGGCACTGTGCGTGAGGTCGCGTTTGGTACTACCAAAGAGCGCATGCTTGTGATTGAGGACTGTGCGAGCTCGGACGCTGTTACAGTGCTGGTCCGTGGTGGGAACAAGATGATTGTCGAGGAAGCAAAGCGATCGCTGCACGATGCCATGTGCGTAACGCGAAACCTGATCAAAAACAACCGTATCGTGTACGGTGGGGGTTCTGCCGAAATCGCGTGCGGCATTGCTGTGCGGAACCACGCTGATAATACCAAGGGCATCGAGCAGTACGCCATTCGCGCCTTTGCAGATGCCCTAGAGGATGTTCCAATGGCCTTGGCGGAAAACAGTGGTCTGAGCCCCATTGACTCGCTCTCGGCTGTACGCGCGCAGCAGATTGCTGAGAGTAATCCGCGACTCGGTATTGACTGCAACTCAACGGGCACAAACGACATGAAGGAGCAACATGTGTTTGAGACCCTCATTGGCAAACAGCAGCAGTTGCAGCTTGCTACTCAGGTCGTGCGGATGATTCTCAAGATCGATGATGTCATTATTGAAGGCTCGTACACGTAGGTCATGACAAGCTTCGAATCGATGCCGCTCTTATCTGGAATGCATGGTAGCGGATCAAAAGAAAGAAATGAACCGATAGTCTGCTTTATCGCCAGTTTCCGTGTGTGTATATATCGAGGACTGCTACTCTGAAGGGGAAGCAGTCGAGTTCCGATGTCGCGGAGGCGTACAGAGAACGTGTAGTATGTGAACTCCCGTTTGCTCTGCATTACGCAGCCACGACACTAAGTTTGCTAAAAAACAATACGGCCGGAAAAAAATACCGATGTCCAACTTTTAGATGTGCACGTCAAGACGACAGCAGTGTGTTCAGCGGACACTAGACGTCAAGAACGAAAAGCGTCACGAGGTTGCCTACTATTGTCCAGATTGTCGTGATTGCCGCAAACGACTTTGCATATCGAAACCACATTTACAGCAATCGCGAGGTCGAATGCAAGGTGCTGTAACCCAAGTTAATAAAGGAGTGGAAAGACAAGTTGTTTTTCGTGACTACTGCTTATGCAGAGCTCTAAAGTACGTCCGCGGCCAGCCGATGTGCAAAGTATTGCACGCGATAAAGCTAGTGGACAAGTCCCATATCTTACTAAGGACCTGATTGTGCACATGAAAACTGCATTCCAATAGATCAAACGATGCATGCGCTTTGACACATCCGATCGTTTCAGCCACCTAAGAGAATGGTTAGAGTAAGATACTCGAATCTTGCGCGTTCAGCGCTGCGGTTTAAGATTGACGGTACGACGACTGTGTCAAAGTCATTCGGTAGCAGTATTGGAAACGATTGCTGAAACCCGAAGGTATTTTTGTTCGAGGTAGGGCGCCTCAGACAAATGACTTTAAAGTTTAGCGATCGTGACATCGCGACACACGAATAGGGATGCGAGTGACCGAGCGATGTCAAGTGGCTTTGCTGTGTGAGGTGTAGCTTGCCCCCACCTCTTTGGTAGATATGTATCATCGCGAGCCCGAAGGGTGGAGCTAGTAGTGATGTGCAAAGGTTGAATGCCGGACTCTCAAAACCTACTTTCTGTGTATGTGCGTGCGTTGTAAATAACGCTAGGCGTACCTTACACGTCCTTAGGAAGACTGCATTACGACTCTTATATCCTCTGTTACAATGTTGTACACACTTAGTCATTGCAAGTCGTGATCTGCGATCGTATTTGCACATAACAGACCGAAAGCTCTCCACGTTGGCGCGGCAAGCGAGCAAAAATACCCTTTAAAATGTTGTCATGCGATAGTCACCATCTCTCACCTTCCAGCTTCTACGAAATGTAACCTGTTAGCGTTTGCAATTATATACACGACAGGCCCAAGCCAAGGTGACACACTGAAAGTACACTATTCTCCTTCATATAGCATTTGCTTTCACATATACAGCTACATGGCAGACCCGTGTATGGAGAATCGTCAACATGACCTAGATCGTTCAGCAGTATTCCCCTTCAGTCGACATTCTTCCGATTGAATTTAGCATACAATCTGCCGAATCCAGCGTCTGTACAGGTACAGCAGTCACTGTGGACATAATCGACAACAACGACGGCGCTAAATTTGGAGGAAACGTTGGGTAGTTCCGGCAGAGTCAAAACGAACCCTGAACTCGCGTTGGCGACGAAATAAACCTCGATATTGCAAGCGTTTGATTTGGAAGGCGACGCGCAAGACGTTTCAGACGTCTTGACTTTTGCTTACCCCAAAAAATTGGCGTAGCTCGCCGCACGACCACCCTAAAGTGAAGAGTTCTGTAGCCCTGATGCTGCTTCGACCGCCCTTTGTGGTAAAAATTCCCGAGTAGGCTCGTACCTAAATCATGATACGAACGAGTGAAACAGAGAGGTTGGAGAAGTCTTCACCCGGACGTCTTGATGGTTGTACAATAAGGCTAAATGCATCTGTTGTGGCAATGCTGCCACAAGCGGCACCAAGAATGGTCCAAGTGAAGGGCAAACTCAGAGTCAATATTTGGTTGAATACGATCGACAAATTATGCTCGTACGTTACCACTTACCATGTGAGTGGAGAGCACAAAAATCCACGGTCAAATCTATCAATCGTTATACGACTGCGCGTCAATCAACCCTAAAGCAAGAAGACTTCAGTACGGATTAACCTGAACAAGTGTCCGTACCTCTTCATGTAAAGTCAAACGGTGAATGTCGCGAAATTCAAAAGACACCATCAAAATGCGCCTAAAATCGCCAAAATTAAGGTGGATTTTTGCCAAAGTGCTTTTTAGGGAACACCGGCTCAGTTCGATCGTAATTTCCACTTTGCTTTGTTTTGTGGCAAGCTTCCACGATTATTATAACGCAAAAGCATACTACCAACTCTATGCACGTTGCATCAACCAATTGATGAGCAGGTGCCCAATTCGCTGCAAACTTCTTGGAGGGTGTGCCGTTGATTTTACGATGCCAGGAAACAGTGTGTTAAGTGTGTTCCACTCTTTTCTGCTTGAAGTGCTGGCAATATATTATAATGGCCACTGCGGCGCAATGGAGTCTTGCAGTAGACATTCGTCTGTAATCTTGTTTGATGGCGTGAGCAATAAGAAGACCCATTGTAGCGTAATGGAGCCCGCGGAACTTGGGAAGGACCGCGCCTTCTGCCACCCTTGCAATCATTCCAGCATGCATTTAAGAAAGCATAGAGCCTACATAGTGAATTTGCCAACGAGAAATCCCTGTAAGCATGGATAAAAATAGCTCGTGTTATATTCTGGTCTTTATACTGGCTTTAGCAGCTGGACATCCGAGAGACTCGACGCTTTGAAATGTGCGCAACTAGCTTTTGGACGCCATAAAATATTCGGGATTGGTTTGCAAATATTGCTTCGGTGCGGTGTGGGTGGCTCCGTAAGTAGATAACGATGTGTTGCCAAGGAACTGACGATGTTTAGTCCATGCTGCAACAAACGCATTCGTGTAGAATCCATGTGTCATTCAACTACTTGGGAAACAAGTAGCGTGGTGTGAGATGTAATGCTGTGGTGGATTTAACATTTTCTAAATAGGTGAAACTACGTTTCCTCTAGACACCGTAATACACTCATGTCAACGAGTAATAACGACCTGGACCTTGTTGCGATCCCGAAGGGTAAAGCTAAGAGAGGAAAGCAAGCTCTTGATCTCGCCCTTGGATACAAGTAATTCAGTCCATAGAACTGAATCAAGTTCCGCATATTCGCGCACCTTGTGTTATGTCACGAATAGCTCCACCCTTCGAGCTCGCAATTCGTTAATGTGCACAAGGTAAATACCGAAGTTTTGCAATCCACCTCATGCATGTGTGATGCTGTTACCTTTGTATCCGTTTGTAGCGCCTATGTACCCACACGTTGTACCAAGTGCAATTTAGTCTGTCACTTCCCGTAGATCCAAGGCGATACAGTCTGTAACCTATAGTGTCCGTGAGTCACGCGCTATGTGTACCTTACACGTCGTATTAAGTGCGATGTAGTTTACCCCATCACTTATATCTATCCGCACACAAAAGAAGGCTCCGTGTACAATAAATGTCGTACTAAAAACGATGCAGTATTGATTCCCTCTTCGTTGGTCGATTAGGCATCATAGTTGTCGATCTTTGATTTGGTTACGAATTGCTACTGGAATCTGTGAAATGTAAAAAAAACACGAAGGCCCACACGTGGTTGGCTTAAAAGTTATCAAGGGCGGAGAGAAGACTAACAATTTAATCCTAGACACAAAGGGGCGGCAGAAGTCTCGCACCTTTTGCAAGCAGCATTTTTGAAGTGAGTTTTATCTTGAGTTCTTGATATACTGAGATGTTAACAGCTTATGCATGATCACACTTTTCCTCTAGGTAGCCGATCAAGCTCTCTTGGTCTTAATTGTAGGTATTATCAGTTTGATATGCGTCGTAAGCCGCACTACGAGCAGAATCATACCCGTTTCCTTTTTTCGAATTCTTTTGCGTAACAGAAAGTCAACAACCTGAATGGGTAGCATTGTTACACACGATCCATCAGCACTCTTATTGATCTCACAAACAGTACAACCCATTTCCTCGTCGCCCCCCCTCAATGGGTACGTGAATGCACGAGAGTGAATCAGTGCTATGATCTCTATTTTACTTATATGAAAGTACGAGCTTTACAGAGAGCTCCAGAGCCTGATACATTACCTTATAGTCGTAGCTCGACAGTGGAATATATACAACAATAAATAGATCGACATTTGTTTCTTCTTTCTTCATTTGTTTTCTACCGCCACTATTTTTCTCATATTGGCAACAATTAAAAAGTACCGCGCCACAAGCTATCCTCGATTGCCAAACTATTCCACGTACGTCATATAAGACATACAAACCCTTCTACATCTCAGCCTCTGCGTGTTAGCTGCTTCAATACCCCCTCCCACCCGGCTCAGTGGCCAGCTTCGTCACCATGTCACGAACGTCACCGCCAACACGTAGTCCTAGTTCCTCTCCGGCATCAATTACTCCATATTGTACCATGTATTTCGCTTGAGCATGGGCGTCTTGATTATCTTGTAAGTAAATGACATGCCACGTAAACTTGAGGTAAGTTGCAGCTCTACTTGTTCGGCTGTTCTTCCTCCCTGTTATAGCATCCGTTTCTTGTTAGCGTACTTTCGTGCTACTCTTGCAAGCAAACGACATGTAAGCGACATAGACAATGATGAACGAATAGAGACGAGGCAGTAACTGACATGTGCTTTACTATCCACTCGACACCTTCAGATTTGCGACCAGTCACGCAATCAAATCGTTGTAGAATAGCGAAGGGTGTCAACGCAGTATCGCGCATACAACGGCGAGTCAGCACTTATTGATAAGCCGTCGCCGACCTAAGAGCGCGGTGAATTTGGGAACGAAGGGCACATGGACGAAGGATTCGTGTACCTTTCGCGCGTGGCCTGGGGTGACGCCGAGGGATGTGGCTCCAGTGTGCCCACAACCGCGTCGGGCGGGGGGGGGGCACGGGATTGGAAAAGCCGGGCGCGATGCGACAATAGGGATGAGCATGGGAATTCTGACCAATCTTAAGCTTGAACAGGCGGCTCCGGCATCCCACCTACTACGCCTATTTGTGGAACCCTACTTTTCGGCGTTCGTACGCGTCCGCAATAGCTGACTCTTTCCCGACGGAGATGGTCAACTTTAAGTGGCTACAGAACGGGGTGCGCTGGGGAAAGGGCCTCAAATCGGGTCCTCTCCTACAGCGGTAATTTTCTCTGTGACGTTAAGGCTCGACTCGAAATTCCGGGTCGTCGTATAAGCCTCAATTGGTGGTGTTTGTGTGCCCGGGGCCGGTGAGAGCAACAACAGAGCAGGGTAGGACCGACACGATAGACGGGCCGGGTCCGGGGCTTTTTGCTGACGCCAACGAGGATAGGAGTCAGCGCTTATCTGCTGACCACTACCGTGTGCTGGTGCGGGCGGCTACAAGAGTGTGGACCGACAGATCGGACGATGATCTCCGATCGATATTTCCGCTTGAAGAGGAGGCGCTTGCGGCATGGATGATGGGGGCCATCTTGCTCCAGTCTTCGCCTGGGTTTACGGTGCGCACGCACCCGAGGGCTATGCGGGTTGTAATGCCTGAAGTTTTTAGAAGCGTACCTGGAAGGGAAGGTGATTGCAATTGTCCCTCCGTACGTGCGCATGCCTCAGTTAATCGCTGAGAAGACGTTGCTACTTCAGCTCTTGAAACGCAGTGAGGGGTAGACGGTGTCTGATGTCGTGAGTCGGGAATTGGTCAAGGGTGCCAAGGGGGCCAGTTACGATGCCGCCACGAGACGACTGACTTTCATTATGCCTGATCAAGCGGCAGCAGCAATCTGGCATGCAAAGATGATCTGCTTCACGGAAAGCGTTTTCAGCTGTTGTGTCCGGCTACTATAGAGCGTGAAGACATAACTTCTCCTACGCAATCAGCCACGTCAAATGGCCGAAACCAATTGCACTATCAAGCTCGGGTTTTGGTCAATGGAGTGGCGGCAAGCACGGCTCAATCTATTTTGGCGTCCAGTGTGGCATGCGCGGTCACATCCGTGTCTCGCGGGTGCTCACACGGCGCGGAGGCTTATGATTCCAGCTTTTTTTGGCAACTTTCGACAGGGTGTCGTGTCCCGACTAACTCAAGTTGGTTACGCACTTTGTAACATCCGACACGAAGGATCCTCTTCCATTATTTTCGTCACTTCCAACGTGCATTCTGTTTTTTCTGCTACTTTCCATATCACTCGAGTGCTTAGTGTGGCGGACGCGAAGGACCTTTTCAAGTTCAGCATCACAGAGAGCTCACTGATATTTAAATAGCTCCTCCTTGCGTCAGTGGGTTGACTTTCAACCGCTTGGATGCTGCCGGTCGCCTGCAGCATGTCTCTGGGCTGGCGGATACTTTGCTGGCGACCACGGCGAAATTAATGACGGATGGCAAGAAGGCCCCTCTGTTAAGTAAGGCCACACAGATACCTCCTCGCACTAGGCAATCGTCCGTTCCCACCGCGTCTCCGCTTAATGGTGGCCACGCCGCTCGGGGCGGGGCTTCTCGCGTTAGTGATCCAATGACGAGCGAGTTCGATCCGGGTGCGAACAAGACAAAGAGGGATGTGCGCTTCGCAGCGGCTCCGTCTAGTCGGGCGACAGAACCTGCTGTGAAGCTACCCGAGAATTCGCAGGTTAACAAGGATGAAGGTTCAGGAAAGCCACCTCTCTCGAAGTCGAAGGCTCCTGCCCAGATAATTCTACGAATACGGTCACTGACAACAAGAAACCACCTCGACCGATTAGGACGAACAGCCAAGGCAGCTGTTCGTCCTAATGTAAACTCGTCCACGATCCTATCCACGCCATCACCCTTCGATTCTTCGAAGGCGAACGCTCAGCGCACGCAGGCGATTTGGAACTGGACCAAATGCTAAGTGGTTCTCATGAGATAGCTGCACACCTCCGACGACTGAACCGGGGATCGATTCTTCGCTGCCTTAGACAGCATCAAAAGAGACGGCACTTGAGGCAGCTCGATCGCAAGTAGCAACCGCACAAAAAGCAGTCGAAGAACTTACTTTAACAGCCGAAGATAGCAGCGCGCGGCGGACACCAAGAAACATGCTGCTACAAGGCTCACGCTCAGACACTCGAAGTGGCTATTTCCACTGAGAGAACAAGTTATGGGGACCCTACGTCCCCCAACGAAGACAGTAGGACATTGCTAAGGATGGAGTACGAGCTCTGTACCGCAGTGCGACGGCAAATCAAGCGAACGCGGATGCAACGAGAGCAATGAAAACCCTTGAAAGACTGACACATCGGTTTGCAACAAAATCACCGAAACTACAACTCGTAAATGACGACACGGTTCCACAAGAGAAGACACCACCTCTCGAGATGCCCAGGAGATGGCAGACGAAGTAGAGATCGGAATCGGTTCATGATACAACGCTTTTTGGCTCCGTATATTCGCCGCAAACGGGGTTATAAGTAAGCCGATCGATCCGCCGCCTAGTATGGTACCTACCGAGACGAAGCCCGTGACTCTGGTCAAACAGACCTACCGCTGATGGTCCCCCCCGGAAAGTGACGGGTAGCATTCTAAAGATCTAGAAGTTACTATGGCGGAGAGCACGGTTATATTCGGGAACACTATGTGCTTTAATGATCTTAAGGGAAGGGCTGTTACTCCGCCTCCCTGTGCCGCAAGAGTACCGTTCCAGCGAAGCCAGCCATCGCAATTAAGGAAGAGCTCAAGGCCTCTTATGGAGATATCGAAGATTCCTACATAGGTGCCTCTTGTTTGACAACACGTCCTACCACAATCTTGGTGGTCTAGGTACGCAGGTAGCGGTCCGGTCCCAGATGAAACACTTCGCGCTCCCGAATCTCACGACTAGACTTTACGCGTAACAAGAGTTCGCAAAGTTCTAGACAGCGCGTCTGCTGCAGTGGCGGCCGCTGCAGTGCCGGAGAGCACGATTTGCATATGGGTCAACCAGCACAAAGTGATGGATCCATTGCCGCTACACTGCTCGTAGGACCAAAGGGACAAATGGCGTGGATAAATTCGTATTCCTTTGGAATTGACGGGACTTGTAATTGATCTCCCTCATCCAATGACTTAACTTGCCTCAATGTCGAAAGAAACCCTGCGATCATCTGGACATTCCATCAACAGTATAACTCAACTGGCTGTGATCCGGCACACACACGCCGATGAAAAACTTCGCGAGCTTTGCAAGGGTTGGGCCGCCACGGCTGACGCGCAAACCGGTCATGTCCGATGGAGAACGGCGGACAATATTCAACGCTGATGACAATTTAGTAAGCTAGAGCCCGAGCTGCTGTGCGCGACTGTCGTCGAACCGCTTTCTGACTTGTGTCACTGGGGAAGCCTCAATGTTATTTATGTGTTTCTCTTAAAGCTCGCACCTATTGAGGCTGAGACGGACGTGGTGATGCCGCAAACCAAGGCTGTTCTATGCCATCTTTTTAAAGAGTTGCGTGCGTCGGTGTTCAGCGTGATCTGCGAGCCTGTCATCTGGCAGCCAGTACTTGAAGTCATCGCTCGAGATGGTCATTTTATGGACTCTGAGTGCTGAGAGCGTCTCGGCTGAGATGGGAGATGCATCGTCGCGGAACATGCCACGTCTTCGTCAGATACGCCTAGTAAGACTTACTGTCTGCCGCTTGACCACAATAGGCCTCCATTCGCAGAATGTCGCGGGATTCTCCAAGAAAATAGAACATTGCGCAACTCGGTTTAGTCACTTCTGGCAGAGCGAAGCCAGGGGAACCATCGACTTGGTCCTTCTACATGAAGCGAGGGTTACTACTGGTGAGTCAGCTTCTATGGAAAATCTTTACAACCCTTCCTGGGGATTTGTGCGCAAACTCGGACGCTCGTTGAGGACCGAGTCCGATCTCTTTCGTGGAAGGGTGGATATCTAGTTGAACCCCTACGCATCGATTACGAAAATGTTTCCGTGGTCTAAGGAGCACTTGACGCCGCACTGGATCGCTATTCGGGTCGCTGTAATGGGCGAAACAATTCTTGTTGACAATGTTTATGCCCCTGAGTGCCAAGAATGAAACGGAGGCGACGTTCGCAAGCCTTCTACTTTTTTCAGGGTTATGAAGGACCCATGTTTGTCGGCGGAGACTTTAAATGCACTTCAGAGCCGCGACTTGACCGTACCTTTGTCTCACCACCGGGAAGACATGATTCCCTGGCGCTGCGGCGGCTTCTCGGTCGAGTGCAGCTGAGCGATGTTCTTGATGATGAAATGGAGATCGCCGGAGAAGAAAGAGCTGTGCCGGCTTTTCAAGCAGCCGCTCACACTTATTTCTACACTATCCCGGACGGTGACTTGGCTAGTTCCCGACTGGATCGGTGGTATGTGAGCTCTCGGCATGCTGATTCTATTTGTGACGTTGCTCTGTCAATACCTGGTCCAGCAGCTGATCACAATTGCTTCAGTATCAGGATTGGAGTGCCAGGTCCTGTGGTCCGTGTACGTAAACCGAGGCACGTGTACCATGTTCCAGGTTGTGCAAAAGCAGCCGCGCACAAAACAATTGTAGCGGTCATTAGCTGACATAGCTTCCTGTGGACGAGACTCTTTCTATTTTGCCGTCGGACTATATCACGGCCTGTCGACTGGCCGAATGGTGGGATAAATGGAAGATCCGGCTTCGCAAGGTTCTTTTGGCGACAACCAAGACCGAGCATCAAGGTATGACAACAAGCTATCGGCAGTGGCTGAGTCGGCTCCATGTACGACTTGATGCAGCTCTATTGGTAGCGCGTACGCCTGATAACTCACCGCCGGCAGTTCACAAAGGCTACAAAAAGCCTAGCACCATCGATGCTCGGGTAAGACTGCGGCGCAATGTTGCAGAGTCTCGATGCTTATTTAAGAGATTCAAGAAAGAGCGCCTTATCGTTCAACACGCATGTGCTCCTAGAGAAACGTCTCGACGTTTTTTGCCCGGGTGTCGACAAAATTTAAGACAACACCATTGCTTCTTTGGGCGGAAAAGCGGCATTCGGACCAATTTAGTCTGATGAGTTGGCTGATGAAATCGTCGATGGTTGAGAGCGTGTTGTGACTCATTACTTTGCGTGCATTGAATCTACCACCACGCTGCTTTCCCGGGCAGTACCGCCAGAACGATTTGATGACACTGCCCTGATATAGGCCGTTTCCCCGACGATGTGAGTGCGGCCTTAAAGAGGCTGAAACGTGGGAAAGCCGCGGGACCGGATGAAATTATCAGCACATTGTTCAGATAACACGCGGAAGCGCTCGGTTCAGTAATCGCTACATTCTACACCAGCTGGATGGCATGCAGCGTTATCCCGACGTCCTTCGGTGAAGCGAACATTAGTGTTTGAAGACATCTGCGTTCTCCGCCTTGCCGCTCAATCACCTCCCGATCACTATCCTCAACAGCGACTACAATTTATTTACAATTATTCCTTCGTTTCGGGTACAGCCATTATTGTCGCATCTCGTTTTGCCGGCTCCAATTGGTTTTGTTTCGAAGAGATCAATCCGTACAGCTCTTGACATCTTTTTCGGCGGTACGCAAAGCTTTGAATTTGGACAGCAGCCTCCATGGAGCTATTGTGCTTCTTTTCGAATTACCAAGGCTTATGATACGTTTCAATGTCCACATCTGCTCTCGGCGCTGACGTGGCTTAAATTTTCGCCTCATTTCGTATCAGTCGTGACAACATTACACCACGACACAACCTGCCGATTTCTTGTAAAAGGATACCGCTCTCGTCGACGATACGTTACTTGTGGAATACGGCAAGGGTGTCCCCTTGCGCCACTTCTCTTTATTTTAGCCCTCGATAGTGTCTATCGGGTGCTACAAGCGAGGGAGGACATCCGGGGGTGCCTATCTTTACTGGAGGACGGGCTACAGAGTTTAAAGTTTTGGGCTACGCTGATGATACTGCTGTACACCTTCGCGATCAGTCCACAATTACGCCTGTTGTAGCTGTTCTCGATGATTTTGCTCACGTGTAGGGTCATCGGACGAATCGGTCAAAATCAACGGTCATTGAGCTGGATCCTCGCGATCAGAGCAACCTCTTGGCACCTGTGGTCTTACTCTGCAGGACTCCGGTGAATCTTGCCGGTATCTCGGTGTTCAGGTGGGACAACAGGATGCGGTGGCTGATATCTGGAATAAGTGCATACATTGTCGACGGAGCCTACTTGTCCTAGCCCGAGAGAAGACTCACACTGTGGAACAACGTGCTCTGCTCGCAAGTGCTATCGCGGTTCCCAAAATCACCTTCTTTGCAAGGCACTGTTGGTCTCCTCCCGCCGTGGTTACCCGGTTGCACAGCTATGTTATAGACTTTGTATGGTGCATCCGAGATGCCCAGCGGTCCCGGCCCTGGGTCCCTTCAGATAGCGGCCTTACCGATCCAGCAGGGAAGACTAGCAGTTCTTTGTATACGGACAGAATTGGTGACTCTGGCGGCAACAGCAATTGTGCAATGAGCTGCTACTGAGAGACTTACGAATTAGTAACTTCTTATGGGGATTTTCCGGGTCAAGTCCGGCTTGCATTACGCCTTGTTGGACGGAAGACAAAATTCCTCGACATCGCGCGACGCTTTGGATAACGGGTATGAAATAGTTGGCCTTTCTGCGGCTCGCCATGCTCGCCAATGTGCATTCAGTGAGATCTGTAGACGAGCCTTCTCGTTTACATCGAGAGCCGCAGTCAGCTATAATGAAGATGGTAGTGTCACAATTGATGTTTGGCGAGTACTTGATGACAGAATTCGCGCCGGGATGCGAGCTGAAGCAGCAGCGTCAAGGCGATCTGACCGTCGGTGGTTGGTACACGCCACTCTTAAGGATTTGTCGTGGCTGCGAGATTGACAGGGTAAGGCAAACACCTTGAATGGGGCCGACTCTGCGATGAATTTGAATTACCTTGGCGAGACAATGTCGTGGACAACCCTGCAGAGTTGCATTGTCTTGTTCTCTCCCACGCGTGACATGGCGTCCCAGTCTATGGGCAAGCGAAGGAACTTTGGGTCCTTCTGCCTTGCAAGTGTTTATAATTTCCCGTCACTGGTCTATCGAGCATTGTAACCTAGGCCTGTGATTGCGTACTCTACGAATGTGCACCAGTTTCATGCCTGGCTTCTCACTGATGGCGGTAATTCGCTCAACATTTCGGTACGGACATCGCATGTGGAGTGCAACCGGTCGCGTTGACGGCGGCATACGATTTAGCCGCGTCAACAGCCAGTAAGACTTCTGTCCAATTTGGAGCGCATCCGGCGCTTATGCGCGTTGTTCACATGTGGGATGGACAACGAAGATGGCGGCCGCAACGGCGCAAACTGAAACAGATTATCTTCCGGTGGCGCTGTGCTGTAGGAACTAGACTCCTTGATGAGCGTGTGGAAAAAAAGACAGACTTTCACGTGACCTCGAAAGGTACAACATTGATTAATGGAGAGATATTCGACGACTACGAGCGTCCTTTCCGACAAACGCTCCGACGATGTATGAGCTAAAGAGTAACAGTTTTCCGCTCTAAATTGGATGAAACAAGATCTTTTATGCTCGGTTCCTGAGTGTGCGACTACCGGTCCAGCTCTGGCAAGCCATATTTTTTGGACTTGCTTTAGCGCGCGTCGTCAGTGGGAGTTTCTGCTTGATCGATAGCGATGGCTTGGCACTTTCCAGGAGGCTGACTTGAATGAATGAGTGCTCGGACTGGACCTTCCGAGTTTCCAACCTACGCCTGGGATGTAGTCAAGCAATCCATGGACCCAGGCGCTAATTTATCGGAAACCCAGGCTGCTGTCTGCCCGGAAGATGGAGAGCTGTAGCGTTTTGTCGTACCAACGACCCTTCATGCCATCTGGGTCAAGCAACTCCGCTGCGTGGAAGACTCGTCATTATCGCAAGAGGTGCACAAAGCCAGCGCAAAGACGAGCTTTCGTCGGTCGGTTCGACGGTTTCGGGGATCAACCTATCAGCACGAGATGGGGGAAGATGGGCAACTGTTTGCGCAGGTAAGATCGGCCTTAGCTGATACCCTACTCTGCTACGATGGTCCTCCTTCGTTGCTGGTCCGGCCTATTGACTGGTGCTCGAGCGTGCTTTGACTCCTCTTCTTTGAAGGCGGATCTCGCAGAAATTCAGGTCCAGGAGGAGTCGTATCTGTGATTGTCCGACTACGCGTTCCGAATCACGCCGCACGTGTTTTGCGGGCTTCAAGCATGGCTTCTGGCTCTGCCGATACCACTAATAATGTCGCTGAATACTGGGGGATCGTGCACGGTCTTCGACAATCATAGACATGCGACTACTCACCCTTACATTTTATTAAGGACAGTGCGCTCGTGTTTTCCCAACTCCGAACACGACACCCCCCACGCAAGACGCACTTGGTGCGGTTATTCACGAAGCACGTGCCATCGCTGACGATATTGATGTCGCCATCTGGGGACATCATTATCGCACCTTCAACAAAATGGCGGGTCGACTGAAAAATGTCACTATGAACACGGGAGATTCTATTCAGACGCACGCTATCTCTAACCCAAGTCCGGTGCAGAAAGCTTCGATCTTCCTTGACACTGATGTCAATTATTGGTTCGAGACCTCTCAAGCCGAACGTCAACTCGCAATACAGGACCCCGTGGTAACCTAGAGAAACCTGATTGTCTTGAGGCAGGAGTCTGCGCGCAGGCGCGCTGCTGTCCGAGGACTAGTGCTACCTAGCATATAAAGTAGCGGTCGACCAGGTAACTTTGTTGCCGTATGAAAGGATATGGCAGGACGTACGCGTACTTACATATACCTCACCTTCTCACTCACTTTACTATCCACCCGATCTATGAGAGAAAGTAGCTAGTGTATTGTCTTTTATGGCCAAGTCATGAGAAAGATAACCTGCTTCAAAATAAGATTAGTTACAAACGCTGGCACTATAGCCATACGGTACGAACGTAAACCTTAAATATCCTCGATACTGATATAAATGGGCACATCGCCTGTACTCAATCTTACAGCAACCTTGGTGTCTGATCTTGTAATTTATGTTGGCTACACCCGTAATTTCGTATAGCGTATTCAAAGTGTTGTAGAGTCGTTACCATATCGTTCGTACACTCGCCCCAATGACGTCGAGATGTCCATAGGTATAGTAGCACGTCAATCAAAATGTAGTGTATCTGTCTAAATGTCTATCGTTCACCTTCGTGACAGGAGCAGGATTACAACGAAAAACGCCTTTAACGTCTCTTTTGCTGTATGAGGATACGAAATTATCACTAGAATCCTAAAAGCAATGGAGCTAAACAAAAACAACGTAGAAAAAAGGATCGATACTTTATCGTGGTGCGATAGGGAAGAGCGTACTTATGAAGTCGACAACTCGAGAAACGGATTTACAGGAGAACGTTGGAAAGCTCATGCATGGACAGCCCTTTTAATTGGCCATCACTGACTATCAGAATACAGTTCCAAATTCGGCGATGAGCGGATGGGGTACCTCTTGATATATATCCACTCGTCACATCACTGTGTAAAGTCATGTGATTATTGCTTACAAGAAAGATTAAGCTCAGTTTGGACCTTCGCATTTACAAGACCACGCTGTTTACTGGCTTCTGATCGATAGAATCGACACCGGAAATGGGTCGTGCTAGAATCTGGAGTGCAACATCGAAAAAAATTGATACCAACCTCAGCACGATGGCTGTCTTTTGTTTTTGCCTACACTTAAGTCTGCCTCCTCACATTCTACGCTTTGTTTATTACGACAGGGCTCAGCGCTTATTATTTGTGAAGATAGCAAGTGTAATGTCGCGATACTCTAGTCGTTGATATCCGTTCGGCGTGGATCAGGAATGACTTGAGCGATACGAACGCCTTCATTATCCCAATAAAAATCGTAGATTTCTGTCCAATGAGGCAGGACATGTCCGGATTCTTACTGAGAATATCCGTATCCGTGCCTCCAGCTTTTGGGATTACAAAAAATGTGAGGGTCTGGTTGTCGTGAAGGTTGTGGTTATATTCAGGCCGCAATGTATCGCAATTCTTTTACTAGCCACGTACACGGATCGTGGATTCGTTCCACACCGCTTTGATATGTGACCGCAGCAATTGAATGGTGCAACGCTGCACACAATTACCAATTACAGGATGCTGTATTTTGCGCTAGCCTCTCGACTGATCAATGATAAAGTTGTCGAGTCGAGTTACCTTTGGCGGATATGAGCCCAGGCATTCGCTGATTACCCGAAAAGCATGCTTTGAACAACCATCTTCATTGCTCGTGCCACCACTTCGTTACAAGCGAAGATACAAGGACGATGAGTGAATAGCTACTTGTGCTGAGTCATGTGTCCTCATAACTACTGAACCTCTTGTAGACATCGTGGGCGCGAAATGAAGTTGTTCGTGAGAAACTGTTCGTGCTTAAATGACGACTGACAGTTGCTCGTCGCTCATCAACAGGTTCAACCATACACAATCGAAATCATGCATTAAAGTCCACACTCTGCGGCAGCGTACCCACCTCGCTGGAACGTTTGTAATCCAAAGCTGGTCCTTTCACCGAGCGCATTCAATATCCAATTAATTGATTCTTCTTGCATTGATCAAACCCAGTGTGTACCCATCTCAAGCTGGTCCTTTTCACCGAACGCGTTCAATATTCAATTAATTGTGATTAGTCACAATAAATCGACACTCAGTGTGTAACCCACTTCATGCCACTTGCATTTTCGTCCAAAATGACCAAAAAGCGTCGAAAACACCCTCCACCTGGTTGCCGCTCGGTCCCGAAGAGGGGCGTGGCTTTTCACATCAAGCGAGCACGAAATCGTCGAGATACCTCGATTAGCTCCACGCTGGAAAAATCTGGAGCGGCACCCGAGACTGTGGCGCATTTCCAAGCGCTTCAAACCTCGACGAATTCCGTAGCCATCGCTGATGTGTTTGAGTGGCTAGGGGATGCCGTTCTCGGGGAAATGGTGGGGCGCTGTCTCTTGTCCCAGTTCCGTCACTCTCCAGTGAGCGCTCGGGTGTTCCGGAACTTGCGGTTGGCAGTTGTAACCAATTGGAACCTAGCCCAGGTATTTGATGCGATGGGGTACGCGATGATCCGACGTCCGTTTTCCACGGAAGTTGGAACGAAAATCCGGACGATGAAAGAACGAGCTGATGTGGTGGAGGCGATAGTGGGTGAACTAGTGCTTACCTTGTACCAGCAAAAAATCGGCGGGGATGGGTACAGAATCCACTTGGATGCAGTGGTGGCGACGATGCTGCACCTGCATTTTGCTGCGGTGGTAAAAAGTAGCGAGGAAAAAGGGGAGATGGCGATGGCAGCAAAGGGACCGCTGAGTGTTGCGTGTAACCCGTTTGCGTGTCTGCCACGGGAGGACTTGGACGAAATAACAGGGGAGCTGGTTGTGATAGATGGAGATTTTGAGAACGGAGGGGAGAAAGGGGACGACGAATATGAGTTTGAACAGAGGAGGGGAGATGAAGAGGTGGAAGACAAAGGGAAGGGGACTGTGGTGGCGCATCATTACTTTGCGCACGCCAGCAATACTTCTTCTGTTTTGGTGGGAGAGGGAGATGAGCAGACCAAGTCTTTGGTTGTGCACTTTGTTCAGGTGGCCATGAGGGAGTTGCATGAAGCACATTTGTTGCGAACGTCGAGTGAGTTTTTTGAAGTGTTTAAGATTTACGGCATGGCGGTGCTGTCGGAGAGAACGAGTCTGTCATTGGCGTTGCCGTATGTTTCGGTGGGGTCTCAGAAGCACTCGGATACGGTGACACCTGCCAAGCTTACGCGACAGCGGCAGCTTGTGCTTTCCGTGGCCAACCTAGCGGCGTGTGCAATTTTGCTCGGGATCGCGGAACCGGTTGCTTATGACGATAAGGAAAGCGAAGGCGATGCTGCACGGCAAGTACACGAAGGGCATGGACGCGCGAATACTTTACGTGCTTTTGTAGGCTATCACAGTGCCGTCGCTACGACGTCGGCTTCTGTGAACAGCCGGAGTAACGAAATGGTGAATGCTATCTGCACGGCACTGCACGACGTAGCATTTTCGTGTCAAAGTGGGATCAGCACCGCTCCATCGTACTCGTCTATGATTCCTGAGAGAGAACCACTCATGGCTATGAGACGGTCGGTGAGCGAGGCACACATGTTTATGAGCAGTAAGACGTGTGACGGTTTACACGCGCGTGGCGAGAGGCCAGCATCTGACGCGGATTTGGTACGCGAGCGAAATGAACAGTCCTCGTTATTTTTGCGGCAGTGCGACTCGAATGAGTTGGTGGATTTGTTTGAGACATTAAATGGAGAGCAAGAAGCGCTGCAGAAGCAGATCAGGGTAGATCGTACGCTACGGACAAGACGAAAGAAAAAGAAAAAGTGCGGCGAGAGTATCACTGTTACAGCTGGAAGCGTCACTCCAAATCTCGAGCGGTTTCTTCATCGCCGATTCCTCTATTGCCTTGAAGATATCGTGATTTTGTTTGCACAGCGCAAAACGGAAGCTTGCCGGGCGCAGATCGTTGCATTCCGACAGGAGCTTGAGCCGTGTTTGAATCCATCTCATTTCCAAAAGTGGGAGGTTTCGACAAGTACGCTAACATTGGCACTGCGCGACAGCAACTTCAGGCTGCTACTGCATGACATTTGTCACTTTCACGCCATCATATCATTCAGCAGAAATACAAGAGACGGAACAAGAATCACGCAGCTTCGACTGCCTCTTCATTACACCTGGGCGAACATTGGTACTCGGGTCACCACGGAGCAAAAGGCTTGCAGCTAAAATATCATTGTGGATTTGTTGTCAACTTTGGCGCTGTGGTCAGGCGGTTGATTGGGTCGTTTCCCCGTGAGTTGTTGGATTCTTCGTAGTGAGTGTACTGTGAATGAGCCTGGATTTATGATGTCTTAGGCATTTCTCCCGTCGCAACAATTACTGTGGATTACCGTCATTGTATGGATCAGGCAGAGGAAGGGATGGTGAGGTAGGACTTACAAAAGCTTGACAAGTTGCTTGGTGCGCTTCGGGGATCACCATTATTGATCCTTAGTACAGCTGGGCTGACCCAGATCGAGTGATAGTGACGTTGTTGCTCTTACTTGAGGTCCGAATCAAACCTGCACCTGCGAACGATGCAACTAGTGCTGGGAATCAATTGTTGCAGTGTTTCGATTGAGGACGACAGTCTTGCCGATGTCAAGCGACTCAGCGTGTTACGCTGACGGTGCAGGATGGTAAAGGACAGATGGATGTGCTTTGATGAAGTGTCATGTGAATCTATCGTATGGCTTTGTAGCTCAAGAATGCGATGGTGCTTACCTATTTGTGATCTACGTTTTCTATGTGTGATTGTCTTATGGTAGTCGAAGGGGAGGTGTGCACGTCCGCACGTTGCTACCGGCATTTACGGCTTTTTGATGCTTGATAAAAGGCATCCAAATATGTCATGGTTTGCTGAAAAACAACACAAAGGGGATATGCATAAGATCGGAGAGAGCCTGACCAAGTGGCGGATGTCCGACGCCGAACTTGTACTAGCGAGCGCATGTTGACAAAGACACTTGGATTATGAACGGGCAGTAGAGCCGTAAAAGGAACAACTCGAGATGTCTGATGTACTATGTCCAGTCCTTACTGCTAGTATTGCATGAGCAAGGTTTCGGAGGGAGCTCACTGACACCAATCGGATTATTAAGTCCATCAGCGGTGCTGAAATGCAGATCACGTAACTTGCACTTGGCTGACATGCGATCGCGGCTTCAGCTAATCTATTCCAGATAATGTATCTATGACTGATGGAGGTGCCAGCGACAAAAAGTCGACTACTACCCGCTTTTGGAATGATATGAATACTCGTACGCACTTTTATTTGTGTGTGTACGTCTGTTTGTGGCAAGCTTACGACAGCTTTGCGTGCTAGTTCACTAATGTCGAAAAACCTGGACAATCTTGATCTTTACCAATTGTTTATATGAACTGGGAAGAATAAGACGAGACGATAGTTCCATACCAATGTGAGTAATGAATAGTATTCTGGTTGCGGTATGGTACGATATGTGCATAGGATGTCTCGCGGTGAAAGACCGAATCCAGCTAAGTAGTGGTGCTTAGCAAAGACTGGGGCAAGCATGGAGCTCATGTTGATTCGCACTCAGCAGATACTATCCCAACAAATTACCAAGTCCTGTATGGTGATCGGACAGAAACCACAGATGATACCAGGTTTACCAAGAGCTGTTAATAACGGTAGTAGTACTCCACGACATATGCTAGCACATGTAGGTAGGCTGCTGGATCGGCAAACTTAAGCTTAGTAATCCAGGTGGCATTCTGCATAGCCTTGAAGCTTCTACCATCGCTTTTGCACGTACAATCACGGTAACTGGAAAACTGTGGACATCAGAAACAAGCATGTTGGTGTTCTAGGTCTCTTCTCATGTTCCTAAACACCTCGAGACCAAAGGAGCATCGCAAATCTAGCAGGACACTCAACTTCGCATGTATAGCGCTGGATGGTGCGAAAGTCTATATACTTTTCGTACACATCAACTGCGTTTTCCTTGGTCAGTTATCGGAGCCTGAGTCTCCGCTGAATAACTCGCCGTCCATGTAGCATTCTATCTGCAGCAGCACATTCGATTGCAGAAATCAGGCGTCCTTCGTGAGCGACATCAAACCCTTATTCTCTCCAACTTCACCGTGAATTTCGTCAACCAAGGCACGAACAGCCTTCACAACTTCTTCTGGCTTTTCGTGGTGGATACAATGACCGGCGTCCTTGACCACGAGATGTGCAGTCCGCTTACTCACCGTGTTTGCCAGCTTGATCTGGGCGTCCAACCACTTGCGCTCTAAATCTGCCAGCATATGGGTGGTAACGCCCGCTTGCATCTTCATGCTGTCAAACATGCCAGCCTTTCCGTGTGATAGCACAACACACGGGAACTTAAATGGCGCAGCAGTGGACACTGAATCTCGAAACCGCTGCTCCGTCTCTGGAATGGCCTGGTTCTCACGCAATGCACCTTCGCGATGAGCTGGCGAGGGCAAAAAGTACTCTACATATGGCAACGCTGTGGCCGTGTACTTTGCTTGCAGCTTGGCATGTTGCACCAAGTTAATGAGCCGGATGAGGCCAAAGCGCGCGAGTCGCAAGACTGTGTCGCCGTTCTCGTCCATTTCCGTTAGCAGCTTTTGCACGACTTCTGACACGCTCTCAAGATCACGACGCAAGTTTTCTTCGTCCATCCACAAGTTCATTAGCAACAAAAGCAGAACAACAACAAAACCAGCTTCAAAACAATCACCACACAACCAAACGAGCAAAAAATCACAGACCTTGTAAAACATCGACGAGCACGAGTCCTCCACATTGAAGTTGTTTGCTCGGTGCCTCTTCCAGCTCCGCTGCCAATTCACGCATATTGTACCCTCCAGCTCCATGAGCGACGAGAACGACGGTCCCCGTCACGTTCAGCTGCTCGAGAATCTGCTTGTACTCGCTGACAATCTGCGTCGACGTTCGTGGCAAGGTGCCAGGTGTCGAGAAGCCCAATCCTGGACGGTCAATCCTCACAACTGCTGCAAAGGTTGCTACGTCCATTGCGACTTTGTCCCAGTCAAACGACGTCTCCCCCACTCCTCCATCAAAAAGAACCGTCACGTCTCCACTGCCTCGACGCTGCACATGGACGTCGCTCACGACTCCGTCCCGTCCATTGATCTGGAGCAGGACACCTGGAGGTGGTAAGGGGTTGAGTGTCTTGACCGTTTCAATCAAAAAGCCACTCGATGCCAAAAGTGCCGTAACCGCAATGAGGCCACCACCGACAAGTTGACCGACAGCGCGTAACTCGGTCAGAACCATCTGTTTCGTTGGTGGTCGGGAGGTAGGTTTTGCAGTGGTAGACCAGAGGCGAGTGCAGGTGCATTGTAAATAGCGATGGCGTGGCCATTGGGTTAGCGCCCGCATGTTCTGACGACTGGGTGTAAGTCGCTGGAACGTGATGAGATATCCCGCTTTGTGGTTGGAATGGCAGATGCGGTTGCGTCGGACTTTCAAAGAGGGTTGGACAGTTTCGTGAGCTCTTGAGGTTTATTGGGCCGGGTGGATGGGTGTGCGTGCGTGTGTGTTTTAATTGCTCACGAGTGGGTGTTTACGGGTGCATGTGGGTGTTTCTGACGAGTTTCTATCCGTGATTTCTATACGTAGCGACTGCGAAAACCATGCTAAGGCGTTATGTGGTGGTGGCGACGCGGCGTCGTCACGCTTCTTTTCTTCGACCGCCACTCGCACTAGCGTTCTCGTCAGCGAAAGGCACGGAGCGCAACACGGTGGAAGTGGTGCACACGAAGCCACAGACGAGTTACGTGCAGATAGAGCAGGACATTGCCGCGTTGCAGCGCGAGATCCGCACGGCTTACCAGTACGTCGTGTACCCGTGTCTCGTAATGATTGTACCCAACAAGGCGTTGTACAACGTCGCTTGTACCGTTTTGGTCGCTTTTTCATGTCGACGCATTTCTATGGTCTGATGCTCACATTCGTACTTTGACGGACATTTCTATCTGTGCGCAAAATAAACAGCTCAGGAGCTTATCAAACTGCCCTGGACGCTGGACTGGAATGTCGAGACCTGGTCAAGTCGCACTTTGGAGAGAACCACGCCGTCTATGCAAGCACCGTGACTAATATCGCGCTCATGCACAAAAATATGGGCCAGCTGGACGAGGCCATTGAGGCCTACGAGTTTGCACTGCAGACATACAAGGCCACGGTGGGGGAGCAGCACGCGTCGTTCGCCACGACGCTCTACAACTTGGGCCTTGTTTACCGTGCTCTCGCGCTCGCGAGTTCCGGTCTTGATCGGGTGACTGCACTGCACCGGGCGCTTGATTGCATCCAAGAGTCGCTCAAGATCCGGCGAGAGATTCTTGAGCCAGGGCATCCGGATATTGCTCTTAGTCTGAGCAACCTGGGCGTGATTTACTGGCAGAACAAACAGCAGGACAAGGCGTTTGCAGTGCTGACGGAAGCTGTCGAGATGCTGGAACGCAAGACGGGACCGGAGAGCGTACTCACGGCTCTGGCGAAGAACAATCTCGCGTACGCCAGAAAAGAGGCACGTGAATATGACGACGCTATCAAGCTGTACGAAGAGGTACTGAGTGTGCGGAAGCAGGTGCTTGGCACGACGCACAATGAAACGATCATGGCACGTCATAATCTGGCAGAGGCCTATCGCTCGAGCGGAAACGAGGACAAGGCGGTTGAGGTTCAGAACGAGATTCTGGATCTCTTTGACGCTGAGCTAGGACCCGACGAAACAAAGTAGACGACAAGGTGACCAGCAACTTGTGTTGACATTTCGGGGCTGTTAGTTTTACCTACCACATTCGAGAATAAAGATCGGTTGCGCGTCCCATATCCTAGCCGACTTTGTTGGGATTTGCGTGAGGCGCCTTGAGCAATGCAGGCGCGTATGGAGGCATCAGCAAACGGCGAAGGTCTTCAGAAGTGGCTTGAGTAGTATCGCCATGAGCTTCCCAGACCCGAGAAGCGATAAGCAAACTCGAGATGGCGCCGCCGCTGCCTGGGTTGGATGACAGCACTGATAGAAATCGTGCGGCGTACTGCTTAGTTGCTGTGCTCTCCCCCACCTTCGATTTTGGCATGAGCGTGGAAAGCAGGTTAAGCAGCGCTGCTGCAAGCTGTGAACTTACGGCAGCTTTCGCAAACTCCGTAGCGGCTTGTGTATGTCGCTTCAGCGGGATCATGTGCAAACACAACAGAAGCTGCATTTCCGTCGAGTCTCCCAGCCATACGTGCGGCAACAGGTTCGATAGACTAACAGGGTCCATCCCTTTTACGAGATTGTCAATGCAAGCAGGGATGAGGCACAAGTTGCCAAGCAGCTGCAACGTTATGCGAGCTAGTTGACCCTCAGTCGAAGCCTCCGTGCGCGCCAAGTTCTTGTATACGACCTGGAACGCACTCTTGATGAACGGTGGAACTGCTTTTGCCAACGAATCAACGCATTTGCCACTGAATGACAACGTGTGCACACACTCCATGCAACGGAGCAGCAAGAGCGGTGCATTCGCAAACGAGTACCCTTGAGGCTGTGTCTCGTGGTCCAGAACATACAAAAGCGTCACCAGACCGTCTGCCTGCACAACCTGTACATCCATGTCAGGCGTGTACTGCAAAAGATTTCTTATAGCCGTAGCAACTGGCAGCAACCGCTGGAGTAACACACTCTCTAGTGCTTGCGGTTGTGAGCGGACGCCTGATATGTCGTATGACAGCGCTGCCAACAGACCGTGCATCACATGTCCACTTACAGTGCGATTCTCCAGCTCAGCAGCCGCCGCGGCAGCAGCTTGAATTTCTTTCTTCGTACCCGGTTTCTGCTTGAGCATCTCAGCGCGCCTGGCGCTACTGTTCTCAGTGCCAGCAATTTGTGCGAGAATACCATTCTTCGGGTTCTCGTTAAAGAAATTGACGTAGATGCCAGCCACGCAGAGCTCTTCCTTTTGGGCCGAGTACATAAAGTGGGACGGCAGCTCAAACACTTGGTGCGCTTCCCCATCGCTCTGATCCATCGTCGTATGAAACTGTATTGCTCGCTGTGCAAGGCTGATCAATTCTTTTCGCATGCGGCCAGTCCACATGACGTGCGGCTCGCGAACCTCAGTAACTAACACGTCCAGTATTTTAATTGGTCCAGCCCGCCGTAATATGTCTACAAGAGGACGCGTGAAGATCTGCTCGATTGTAGTCTGCATTCGCTTGACAAACACAGCAATCGATTCCTCTTTTGCATTCGCTTCTAAGATCCGGCCCAATGCCTTCGCTGCACCGATGCTAATACGCTGTAATTCTCCGTTGTTGCCATCATTGTTTGGCCGGTAGTGGAACAGCAGCAGTGTTAAATACCACACAATTCCGTGCTCAGCAAGCTGCAACAAGAGGACTTCAGCCATTTCTCCCGAGCTGCCAGCCATTTCGTACATTATTTGAAGAGACAGATCGGTGGCCAAGCGATCACCTTCCTGTGAAAGGTAACGAGTCAAGCAAGGCAACAGATCGATCGACTGCGCGGCAGCCGACACGCGTCCGTTCGGCTGGTTAAGAACGTTCACAAGAGCTTCCAATACCCAGTGTGTGATCACGTTCGGTGCGCACCCATCCACAGCATTCAATGCTTCTTGGTTGTGAAATAATAATTGAAGGGAATTGCACAGCACGCGAAGGCCCAGTCCAGAGCTGCCCCCGCGGGCATTCTCATCCGAAGCACCAACGGCCAAATTAATCACGCGAATCGCACTACTGAATGCCTTGACAAACGCGGTCTTGGCCGCAATAGCTTTTGACACGTCATAAAATGGTTTCGTCCGGCCAACACGATTGGCTTTTAGTTCTGTAATGCACCGCTCCAAAGCCTCCAGAAAATACGAGATATTGTGCAAATTAGTGATATTTGGGGAGTCAGGAAATCGGCGTACCAACAAGGCAGTAGCGTCAAGCAACTCGACAGCATCAAATACTGAGAGAAGTTTTGTCGATTGATCGTTGACAGCTCCACGAGTACTTGGCAACGATCCAGGGTGTACCCAACGGCGAATAGAGTCAAGAAGAGCACGCAAAAAAGCAGCTTCGTCGTTGATAGGCCATCCAGGAAAATTCTTTTCGTCAAGAAGATTGTGTAAGTAGTACTGATAGCACTGTAATGCATGGACTTCCTTCGGGTACTTGATCAACGGAATACATGCCTTGTGCTCGGATCCTTCATTCTTTGAAATATAGAACATCCCGCTTTCGTCGGTATGTAAATTCATGAACTTTTCAACATAAGCCACCATTTGGTTGCGCATACTGGCGTTCCAAACCACTTCGGGATTGTTTGCGTCAGAAAAAAGTGCTGTAGCAAATCGTCGTGGGCCGTGACGCAACAATTGAGCAACCATAGACACGGGCAACACCCGGACTAACCAACTTTTCAAGCAGATACGAGTCAGCGGATCAGGGGCAAAGATACCTTTCTTGTTCTCTCCTTTTTGTTTGTCATCGACGAGATGCGGAAATTCAAGTCCGGATTGCCGCAAATGAATATGAGAGATAAGGCGTGCCGCGATCGACATTTCGTCCACATCTTGGGCAAACCGAAGAAGATAGTAAAAGATGCCAGATGCGTGAAGATTCGGGATGATTGCTTCGTTGTGCCGAACCAGAAGCCGAATCAAGCCGAGGCATTTTTTAAAAACAATGCGATTCGGACAATCCAAAAGACCTACCAAAAACCGCAGCGTCTGGTCTTCGCACAGCCGCTGCTTGATTGAGCTGATCGGGCTAACGCTCGAGCCCTCAAAATGCGTCAGCCGCCCATACTTAGGGAAACATACATCTTGGTACATATAACCTTCTTCTTCTGCTGTATGGCAATCAACGAGACGACTAAGGACACTTAAGCAGGTCTGCATGATCATTGAACCACTCATCGCGCCGCAATGCTCTGCCACAACCGTCACGCGCCTAGGTAGTTCTTCGAGCTGCACGCTATCGTCATCGGGGTGTACGTCAGTCGGAGAATTAGAGTGGCTTGACGAGGCTGAGCTTTCGCCGCCAGAATCCTCTAATGCATCAATCATTCTCTTCGCCATGTCCCGATCGTCCTCTTCCTCATCACCATTTTCATTGTCATGCTCAATTCCGTCATTACAGTAGTCCTCATCGTCCTCATCGTAGACATCTTCGTCTTCGTCTTCAGACGCGTCGAGATCCGCCTGGATGTCAACTGGAGGTTCTACCACGTACTCCTTCTCAGAATCGGTGGGCCCCTGAAGAACTACTAGTGGTTTCACTTCACGCAGCAAATCCAGAACCATCGTCACGTTATCATTTTCACGTAAAAATCGCGACACATTTACTGCACTGGATAGAACACGATCCAGGAACAGCATGATATTGCCACGGACGACCAGTGGCCAACGTCGGACCTCGCCACCTCTAGTTTTCATCATGCTCACCCGAAGGAGGTGATTCAAGAATGTCAGCGAACCCAGCTCAGTACAGTGACGCTCATATACCTGGATCATGACCTTTAAAACCAACAAGCGAATGTCACACTGGTCAATATCACCCTGAGCGTCCAGCGAAGAACACCGTTCTGCATTCTGTACGTTGCTGGTAGAAATGCCACGGTCTTCGGCAAGTAGGCGGTAGTATAGTAGTGACATAAATTTCTCGGCGCCCTCGATTCCTGCCACGAGGACGCCACGATCATCAAGAATATTTGCAAGATAATACGGGCCAACCTTCACCTCGCCTTTCAGGCACTCATAATCGATGCGAAATTCGTTGCAGTTCCACGCCACAAACCACCGTGGCATATTCTTTGTGCTCCTTTTTTTCTTCTTGGACGAGAACGCACTGCGTACCCCTGCGTGGGAGCCGTCTTCACCATCGTGCTTTAACGCTGCCCCGTGACCAGCTTGTGTACCACTGGGTCGAGAAGCACACCCGTTCTCGTCCGTGTAGTTATCGTCGCTGTCGTAGCCGTCATCATCTAGCCCGCCGTCGCTTTCCACGTCTTCAGATGTGTCGGGGTTTAGCAGAAATGAAAGCGGCATGTATCTAGAAAATCGGTTTGACGATGAAATTGTTCCCTTCATTATCTCGAGCGCTAGTTGGCTCTCCAAACCATTTTGCAAAAACTCGAAAAGAAATGGGGCGAAGGTTGCGTTCTGTGGATCGTGACGAAGTCGATTAGTTTGGTGTGCATCCCACTCGGTCTCCGTATGGTCAGTAGCAAGCGGGTCCGTATATAAATATCCTAAGTACTTCAGCCGGTATAAATCCAGCACGCTTATTTCAGCTTGTAGCCTACAAATCAGCTCTTCCACGGCGTCTGGACCCCACACCAAATCCTTGGTTGCATGAGTTTTACTCAAGCGGTCAAAGAACTCGGGCAGCAGTACTGCGTGTTTTACGTGCCGCGCCAAGCGAGCACGTGTGTTGATCCCGAAACTAAGTTTGTTGCGCCTACCTTCCGCAGCACTAGTCGTATCCCGGCGACCACCATGCTTGTGCGAAGCGTCGTTGTTCTTTGGGTAAGTTTCGAAATTTGCTGTGGGAAGATGTCTGCCAAACTCGTCGAATTCCAGCTGGGCAGTTTTCATGTCATCAAGCAACGCGTGTGGGAAAATGTTTCGTATGACGTACGATGAACGTGGGTTTTCGTGCGTAAGCAATGCTACCAATTGAGATGAGATTCGACGCTGGGCCTTGTCTTGGGTGTACAAGGCTAAGTAAAGCTGCCAAACAAGTGCCCCGTGTTTCCTCGCGAAGTCTTGAATGAGCTCCACAAGCTCAGTAGGTTGCTCCAAGATATGCACCTTCACCAAAATTGACGAGCTCTTCGTAATCGAGAAGCTCAATGACCGATTGAACAAAAACAGAGCGTGGTGACGAGAAAAGTCATTAAACCGCATAGCTCGAAGTAAATCCCTTGCCACTCTTTCTGGAGTTGCTTTCTTTCCGCTCGACAGACAAACCTCAAGCGTCTGCAGAACCGTACCAAGAACAAGGTAATCTAACCCGAGTTGGGAATATGCAAGCGCATTCGCCATGCTGCGTTCTATGTTGGACATTGCCGCCACTGACTGGGCTCTGCTTGATTCGGTCCTTGCCAAATCGACGCTGTGTAATGGTAGGCGGCCAGCCCGATTCGTCCTCGACAAGTCAAATGCGCGAGACACGTACATTCTGCTATGGTACTTAGTAAAAATTGCCCGACGATTGGCCGTCTCGGACTTCAAGCTGCGCGTATCGGAGTAATTGATCACCATATACTTGATCACGCATGAAGCTGCAAAGCTCACTTCTTCCATCGGAGAATGGAGCAACTCCATGATCACTTCGATACTCCTCTTGTACTGCGAGCTAGGAATTTCCTCAAAAACCCCGCGAGTGCAAAGCAAGCGCTGGATCGCCAACAGTAACTCCACCTGAAACTCTGTCGTCGGGATCGGAGCGTCCGTGTTGGAAGGACTGTTAAGCTGAGCCACCGAGTACACCTTGAAGTTTTCGAGTAGCTTCATCAGGCTCGCAAATGCACGTCGATCGCGCTGGCGGAGACCTCCCAGCGGAATATTGCGGTTAAACTGAACAAGTTGGTTGTAAATAATCGACATACTCTCGTTTGACACGAGATTCGGGATCAAGCTCAGACTAGCCAACTTGCGCAGCAAAATGTCTTCCCATTCAGAGTGGACTTCAGTCCCCCATGTTCCTTCCTTGCACGCAATTTCCGTCTCTTCCGTTGACCATGGCAAGTGCAGCTTATTCATTCGACACATCTCAATCATATTGCTAAAAAACAGACTGCGCACCTCCTTTGGACTGAGCAATGTTGACGATCCAGCAACTTGTAGCCACGCAGGAGCGTCCATGTCCCCAGCAATGTCTCCAATAACCTGGCAAAGCTCATTCTCATGCTGCGACGATACCCACTGTAGTCCAAGGCTAACATCTTTATCACGTCGGTTGACCGCTGCACTCAGACAGACGTAACGACGTGTTCGCCCGTGCTTTAACTCTAAGGCAAACTTGCCGCACAACCCTTGTGATGCTTCAGTCTCGAGATCATCTAGGGACGACGACACCGAAGGGTACATCACGACGTTAAAAATGTCGTTCAGCGCATGGCTTGCCATCGTCTTTCTTGTCACAGGGTCTCGTTCAACAATTGCCAGCGCAGTGAGACCCAGCAACCGCAGCTGCAACTTGTCCGACTTGTTCTTGCTGATCTTCAGCACTGGAATCTCAAACGTCACGGGTTGCGGGATATCTCGCGTCGACGTTAGCGCGTCAAACTCATACGAGTCCGATACTTCTTCCACAAAAAGCGACACGCCAAGCCACGAGCGCAAATTGTTTGCGATTGCTTGAATGAAGGGCTCGCGACTGTCGCACCAGTACCGGTGCACGCGGTTGTTTTCAAAATACAGCACGAGTTCACTCGAGTTGGTACTCACGCGCTGAATCTTGACAATTTCAATCAACAAGATCGACGACAGCGTCGTGCGTGTATCAGGTTCGAGGCGATCCAAGCTCGCCGCTCGCACTGCAAGCAGCACGTCCAATTTCACAGGATGCAGACTCACGCTGCGCGTCGTGCTCAGCTTTATCACGGTAAACGTCTTGCCGCACAATTGAAACAAACTGTCAAAGTACATGCCACTGGTCCCTAGACTTGAAAAGTTGCTCAGACCTCCTGCCGTTCCGCTAGATCCCGACGTGGCCCAGTAGCTGCTGTCGCTCGACGCCACGCTCGCACCAACAGCACTGAGCGCATCAGCCGTGGCCGCATCAATCTGGTCTTTCCGGCACGCCGACGCCCGTTCTCGTAGCTGGTAGTACGCCGAGAGCAGCTGCTGGCGACAGCGACACGTGTACGTCTCCTTGACGTTCTTGCCGATAAAGACCGTGAACGCTCTGTCTGCGTTGTGCCCTCCGCTGTCCGAAGCAATGGTGATCTCTTTGATATTATCAAACGCATAGCGCTCTTTCACTTGCTCGGAGTATGGATCGACGATCGTCAGGTGGTTACTGCTGAGGACCAAGAGGCGCTTGACCGAGCGTAGAAACCCGACGCGCGTGACAAAGAAACGGGCGGCGTAAATGACGCCTGCGTACCGGTTTACCGACGCGTTCAGACTCTCGAAGTTGTTCTTCTCGTGGCTACTGGTACTGTTATCGTCGTGGTCATCGTGGTCGTCGTGGTTACTGTCGTCGTCTTCGGTAGATACCGGTATGGTACCGTAAAAGGACGGTTCCGAGTCAAAGCCCGTGGTCTCGGGACCACGCGGGAGGACACTGACAGTGGAAAGAGAGATGAGATCACGACCTAATACGAGCGTCTCCAGCTTCTGCTTGAGCTGCTGCAGCTCCGAGTTGCTGCTAGGCAGCGCCATTGCCGGGAGAGAGTAGGAAATGGGGCAAACAGATCCAAAAAAGATGCAGGATGCAACGAATCAGAAAACGTTTGGTACGGTTGTTGTCGGACGGGATACCGACTTGATACCGGTGTTATTTCTTGACGGTCGGGACTGGCTAAATTAATAGGTGGTGGAGCTACTTTTGGCTGCGATGAATGCAAGCACGTTTTGTCACAGAGTGAGCGGACAGTATGACAAAAGGTGCTCGCAAACAGTTTCGAGTGACAAAACGCGACCAGATTCGAGTGTTTATTGTGGCCGATCTTACGTGCAAGGAAACGAGAGCGTATTGTACCCGCAGTGTATGTGCATGGCTAATTGGGTCGGTCACGTAAGCAGCTCTTGGCCTTATTTTACGGTCAAAGTTTTACGTTCGACGATATTCGCAACAAGAGGGTGCAACGTGAATTTTTTAGTGTGTAGGTTGCATCGGCTGAGCATGACACAATGTGACCATTTACTCTCCATTCGATGTGGTGGTCGAGTGTATCCGAGCCAAGAAGTGCATCATAAAGCTGAAGCTACATTCTTTTATTCGTCGCGCTGTTTCGTCTGCACGAGGATGGAGCTCTAATGGTCGAGTGTTTGTCCGCACCCTAGAATGCTTTCGTTGACATAAGTGCAGATTCTAGTCACACATCTGGTAACGCGTGAGATGTGAAGGTTAGGATCCTTAATAATTGCAGATTATTTGTGAGAATTATAATTTTATACTGGAAATCATGTGAGGACCAGTGTCAAACTAGCGTGTTAAAACTACGAATGGACGTAACGGCGAGAAATGCCGGATAATAGCGTCAACTGAAACAACCCTTTTGGTAAAGATGCATAAAATTCGGCAAGTATACCGTACGACTGTGACGATGAGCACACCGCGAGCAGAAGCGACCAATATGTGCTGCCTAATGGAGTGAAGTGCGCTGCCACTAACATGAAGTACGTGTCGTGTGTTAAACCCTTTTTTTCGAACAAATATGCTCCTAGTCGATTATGCGATGTAGCAAGTCCGTCGAGTCGCATTAGTGTGGACAATTCGTACAGCCCACATGACTAAAAGTTGCGACAGTAATGATGAGCAGTTATTGCTGACGATGCATTCGCAAACACACGAGTGGTCTATCCTTTCGACGACGTCGACAAAATTGTGCAATCCACTGTAGCTACGAAACGACAGAGTACAGTTTGTTACCAGAACGAGAGTGTCACTTAGGCACCACTTGTCTTACGAAGGCATCTCACTGCTTTACAAAAGTCAAGACATCGCTGCCGGAACTATTGCAACTTCCAATCCTTGCGACGAGCGCGTGTAGTTGTGCAGGTAACTCGAGACCGAGTGTGATGGATAGTCGGAGAACCAACCGACGCGAGCCCTGCCACTATAACTTTCATTTAAGCACAAAGTTAATGCTCTGATCATAGTGATTTATCGACCACAGTGGGCGAGTGGAAACCGCTGGAACTGGGACCGGGAGGTACCTGGATCAATACCCGGTGGGGGTTCGATTACAGGGCGCCGGAAATAGGCCGATACAGTAGACGAGCAACCACGCAGAAGTGGCCGCCCTGCCAACCCGCGCACGGCGTGTAATAGTTGGATGGGCTGGATGCCCTACTGGCCGAAAAGCCATATAGTGTAATGAGGGGTGCGGGCCTGTAAGGAGTTCAAACTGAGTCACGGTACTCGCAGTTCACCCCCGGGTGATCTGAAGGACTGCGCGGCATAAATCTTTCTCTGATCATAGTGGTTCGTTTTGAGCTACCTCTTATTAGAGGTCGTCATCCGCGTCGGTCTTGGCACATAACTGAGAATGTTCTATCGACGTATACATTGCTGCGTGTCCGATTCACGCAACTTGCATCGGATCCATTTCGATTGTTAATGACCAAATTTCGCGCTTACGCACGTTGTACAACGAAGTCGACCATGAGAATATGTCGCCAGATTGAAGATCGTACGAAATCGATTGGGATTCGTACAGCACTTGGTACAATTACCTTCATCGATGACCGTGCTCAGTTATGAAATGCGCTATACTGCTTTCAACTATAACTGTATCGCACTTACGGGCAAGCTATAGCAAAACAGCAGTCGATGAACAGAACAAATGCACCACACTTTTATGTCTTGGTCGTTTTTCGATGTTGATGATACCCTACTTACGCACGGTAGTTCTTGCAGCACACGGTGCACAGTGATTAACGATGTTTTGTGGTTTGATTTACAGTGATCTGTCTGGTGAAGCTTAACGACATAAAAAAATCGACCTCACATCATCGCTTTTCCCTTACGAGTATGTCGTCATAGCTGCTTGATGTCATCCTCGTTCCGGCGTAAGAACCTCCTATTTGAATTTTGCTTCATATGCCATGCCTTGATCTTCGTTATGCTCCCACGTCACTCGCAACAGTCAATTGCTACCTCGTTCGGCGTTTTTGTGTCGTGATCAAGCATAACCTCGATCTCCAGCATCACTAATCATGACAGCACGTACTTAGAAGAATGTGGGAAAGCTCTACATTTTCATCATCGTTTGGCTCATTGAATCATCTGCAAAAATGGCCAGTATATCACGACCTTATTGAGATGCCCTCGTTTGTCTTCTCTGCATGCGTCAGGCTACGCCTGCTAGGCCCATCTTCAGCTGTCGTGTGCGTGCCCATAAACGCTTATTATTATTTCAATCCACAATATAGCATTTGCAGATCTCTCTGTTGTCATGCTTTTGCTACGCAGTCCACTTTTAGTTTTGCGCACAATCGTCAAGCTTTTTTTAATGCTACAAGCTATGTACTTCATCATCGGAAAGTTGTCGCAATCGAGAATATGCCTTTTACATCAGCGTAAAGTACGGTCGAAGTCATGCCGTTGCACCGAAATGCCTTGCATAGAAGGACGTCGCGTAGTTTTGGTCTAGTGCATCCAGATAAGAAGATATTAACACCTGTGTTTTCTACGAGAGTCGACGCTATCATAGTATGGTACCTCTAATACACCAACCAACATTTGCTCAATGCACAAATATCATTTATAGATATTCGTGGAGTACATAAACGGCTGATTCCCTTGCGAGACCGTGGAACGAAAAAGGTTGGCTATTCGTATGAACTCGCTATCATCTTTGACAAGAAGCTGCCCGAAGATAGAGTACGGTCGATGATATGTTCGGACAACTGTCACACTACCCATTCCAGATGTATTGCAAAACAATGCTGTATGTACTACTAGCAGCGAGGCACGTGTCAATGGGAGAGCACAACATGGAAGCCACGGTCGTCCAGATGCGTCAGTCTGAAGTTGCGCCACGGGTATGTGTGCTTATGCGGTGATCTAAACATTCAATCAAACGTATGTTGTATCTATTGTGAGTTTGGATAGGTTATACTGAACCACTTGAAGAAGACTAGTATTATTTCAAGAGCACCTGACTCAACCTGTACATCACACGACAATTCCTCGTCAATCCACTCCGGCTCAAGATACACAGTCACGCATTGATGTCATGACTCCACCTGAGCTAAACACAACGAATTTGCATCCATTCGTTCCAGTCCAAGCTTCATCTCCACGGTGTCATCTTGATCTCGCTTTGTCGCCGTTGGACACACTTTGAAATCGACAACGTAGCACAATAGAAGGTCGTGACTTTGCTTAAAGTGCGATAGATTTGAATGATGAAACTGCATCGGATGTTCAGTATAGTGGACGTTCTCTTGTTCAATAGTGTACGTTCTTTCAGCAATTATCACCATACTTTATTTAAGTCAAATAGTTAGCCTACAAATTTGGCCTCGTCAAATTTGACATTTGCCATATTTGCCAAAATGAACCATTGTCGGCACACTTCCAGGCCCCAGATTTGGCATATGCCAAATATACAGCAATTTTTGTACGTTCGTAAAATAAAATGTGATTTCTAGGAGGAGGAATGTCAATCACGCGGTCTTGGCGAGCAGGTCGTACTGTTTGGACTGCGTAATACCCTCCAGTGACAGATCGGTCAGACTCTGACGGTATTCTTGTCCTTCTCCCAACCGAGCACGGAGAAGTCGGACTCAACCGTGGCAGTACTTGGGAAAACGGATACCACCCCCCTGCCCAACCACTAAGTGCGCTGAAGCACGGGCTCACCAACGTACATCCCCGGTGGAACGTAGTTGTGCTGTCGCACGCGTCGAGCTCTGCGGCCAGAGCGGGCTCCTCCTTGTACGCGCAAAACAAGGTGACCTGCTCGGCCTCGATCTCAGCCACATGCTGGGAATCCAGGTGTACCTACACATGCTCCTTGAACGGGGCGAACAAGCTCATGAAGTCGCGTCTGTTCAAATTAATGCTCGACAGTAGAAAGGATTCTGTTATTACGTTTTAGCCTACCAGTAAACTGTTCAAACTTGTAAACTTTCTCACCAATCAATCGGTTGGTTGCAGTGCAACACCCAGGTTGACCAGTCAGAAAAGACAGGCAGTGTCGTCAGTCGTATCTCGGCCCGTCCTTGCCCATGTGCAAATCTTCCTTTAACAGCGTCTGCGCAGCTTTCTAAGCTGGTGCGGCAGGATAATGGGCACTTTCATCATGATTGATGAGTTTTCGCTGTCACGCAGCGTCTTGATCTGCATGATGCCGCCCATCATGTCGACAATAAAGCGGCCAATGTGCTGGTTGGTATCGAGCACGACGCCTTCAGAAAATTTATCGAGCTGCTCGCGAACAAACGTGCCTTGGTCATTGAGGAGCCATGACACATCGTCGTACGACACAGACCAAACGCCGGATCGCTCACCAGTCACACCCACTACATTCAGGATGCTCTCCTTCTTGGAATCCGTCTGCAGAGACAGCGCCTCAAGTAGTGCATCGATGTACTCGTTCTGCTGATACAGCAGCAGCAGCTGCTGGCCCTGCAGTTTCGTGATTGCCTTGTTGCACTCGTAGAAGAAGGCTTCGATGGCAGCGACGACAGGTCACCACCACAACGGCAGACGAAGCTGGTAGATTCGGCGCCAGTTAAAGAACTCGATCATCTTGACACGGTGATACATCTGCCATTTGCAGTTGTTGCCGAGCGCCAACAAGCGCGTTGTCATCTTCGGAATGGTCGCGCACATCTCCGTCGTGAGGCTCTCCTTCTTGCGCAAGCACACCGCGATAGCATTTGCCTCTAACCAGAACTCACCGTTGAACATCTCCTTGATCGTTTTCTTTGCGACCAGATCGAACTGATGAAGCCCACAACAGGTAAGATTCACATGTTTGACGACCGCCTGCTCAATCCGTGCCACAAATCCGCTGATGCGACCGGTTATTACGGCATCTCCATCTGAACTGATGTCGATCAGGTTTTTGCGCTAGGATATTTATGGTGCATCGAGCATCTTGATCAGCAAATTGAATTAAACATGTGCCGTATGGCGGCCAACGATCGGGATGGCGAGCACGTGCAGGTTGTACAGCTCGCCGTTCACATGGGCGCGTATGCGCGTGTCAAAGTATGAGCGGCCGAGATGCGTTGACGCATCGAAGGCTAGCGAAAACGATCAGACGGCGTCCACTGCCATGAGTATTCCTATTTTTTAGAGGTTAGCCGTCGAAAGTACACGAGCGTATCCGGACATCTTGTTTGTCCGCTATGCAAACAATCGTGGACAGTCTTGTGACATCCTGGGTAGAGTTCATCACCGCTGCAACCTGGCAGAACGATAAGCCATGGGACAGGTACTTGACTTCAGGACGTAACTGCAACGGCTTTTCGTGACGTTGACAACGTACAAGCTGTGTGAATCCACGCCGCCAGCGACGACGAGCTTAAGCCGATCCAGGGAGCGTGCCTTGGTGATGCCACCCTCCTCCTCGGAGTCGAAGAACAGTCCCTGATGAGCACGTCGACTACAGCGAGTGATAGTGCGACAAAATAGATCGGGAGCGGCCGAAGTGACTAAATTACGTGTTATCGAACGGCTTCTGCAAATCGAAAAGCATCTTCTCGTCCTTATTGGAGGTGGCGCAGTACTGCCCATTTGAGTGGCTGCTGACTGACCATGTGCTATTTGTAGAGCTCCGAATGGAAGGGCAGACCCGTTCAGCCGTTCACGTTCTTCGTTGTTGCGGGTGTTTTGCGCTTCGACTCGACCGCCTGGTGCGCATCGGTTTCCTCCTTGCCAAAAGTGATGCACATGCGGCATTGAACGCCGGCCACGTGCTTCTTGGTGGCGTGTCAGTCGACAATCTTCAGCCCGTACTCCAGCACGTGAGACTCATTGAAGGGCGTGCAGCGCTTACTATTGTGCGGCAATCAGACGAAACGAGATTTGAGGCTGAGAAAGAGAGGAGATCGGAGGAGAATTAGTAATGTGGTACATCCTCACGCACCCCAGAAGCACCAATGCTCACCAAATGTACGCAGCTCATTTTTGGCATGTGATGACTCCCAAATTTTGCATATTTGGCATCTAATTTTTATTATTTTTTAATATGCCAGATTTGACGAGGCCTGCTATAAATCATGTTGGTGTATTTGGAAATAAATGTTGGTGTATTGAGAGTTACCTATTGTTATAGCTGCTTAATGTGGATCAGTCAAAGGCATTACAGCATTAGATTTGCACAGAATAGCAGCACCGTCAGCAGATACAGTGTTTGGTTGAATTCGTCACATTATACTGATTTTTACGGCGTCTCCCAGATGGTTCGTCGGTGGTAGGCATGGTTATTCAGCTGTTCACCCGTTACCAATTACCCGGTTCGACCTCCCCTTAAGTCCGATACCGTTTGCACCGGAGGGGGGGGGGGTCGAACCCGGAATCAGCGACTTGGAAGTCAGCTTACTGCGCCTCTCACCAGGGCTCCACCCCCTCTGATACAGTGTTTGGTACTTAATACTGCAATCAATATGGTACAACGTATTCGAGAGAATAAATAAAGTCCTCAATTGTGTTATAGAACGCAGTAAAACGTCATTTCTGATATGGCGAATGAGCGAAGAAGCTTTACGTAATAGTGCTAGCGACACCATCCAACTGAATAATGCACTATCCAGTGAACGATAATACAGGCTGTTAGAAAACGGCCATGTTACCCGTAACGGTTGAGATAAAGGTTGTAGCAACGGTTGAAGTAACGGCTGACGACTTGGAGAAATGTAGGAAGATTAGTGATTGAGTGGACAGCATAGTGGATGGTTGATTGATTGGATAGGAGTGATAAAGAACAAGAACAACTAGTCCATCATCGTAGCAAGAAACGATAACACCAAAAACAATGACAGAATCCTTTTACCACAGCGCTGCAGACTTCTTCTCATCGACTACTATGAGATTTATGCCGCGCGGTCCTTCAGATCACCCTGGGGTGATTTGCGAGTACTCTGACTCAGTTTGAACTCCTTACAGGACCCGCACCCCTCATTACACTATGGGGCTTTCGGCTTGTAGGGCCTCCGGACGGCACCGACCACCCATTGGTGGTTGCTCGTCTACATTATTAGCCTATCTCCGGCGCCCTGTAATCGAACCCCCACCGGGTATCGATCCAGGTACCTCCCGGTCCCAGTTCCAGTGGTCTACCACTCGGCCACTGGGGTCGGTCATCGACTACTATGAGCGAACAGGTTATGATCCCAAACGGGTCGTCTGACGACAACTACACGGCACAGGCGCCGCCGACTACCAGTCACGCAAGGGCTGCGTCGGAGCCTGCCGTGTTCGTACCATCGCATGCTCACGCAAGGAGCGCGGACAACGATGCACTGGAGAAGGTTCTCAAGTTGCTAAGCGGCATGGACGAGCGCGTTAAGAAGATGGAGCTGTCCCAGGCAAGAAATGACCTAAATGAGCGCATGCGTGGAGCAGTGGAGAGCGGAATGTTTACCTCAATGCTTGGCGCGGACTTCGCGGGCAAGCTTCACCGTGACGCGCTTGACTGCTTCGACTTGACAATCCACCAAGCGCGCTTGTGTGTCGATCGTCAGCGTGCGCAGCGCGCACAGCAGCCGCCTGTCCAGATACCAGCGTATCAGCCTTCGCCTATGCCACATCAACAGGAGTCACCAGCTGCGCCGATGCAATCGCCTTTGCCAATTCAGTTTCGGACGCCCGATGCGAGGCAGCGCAAGCTCGCAATACGGAAGTTCGATGGGACCGAAGTGTACGTCGGACTCGGGTCCGGCTTCTTCGACTGGGGCAAGACTTTCTGGAGGCAAGTAGACATGGCTCAGGAGTCGTGCGGATTCCTGTGGACCGAGAACGTCAAGACTGATGTTCTTGGCCAGTACCTGACTGGCACAGCAGAGCGCTACTTCAGCAAGCAGGTCGACACGTGGTGGGCCGTGCAACCGACTCTCCAGTACGTGATGCAGCGCATGCTTGATACATTCAGGACCACAATCACCGCAGCCCAAGCAATGAAGCTGTTCACGACAAGGAAGGAAGGCAAGCGCTCGTGGCCGGAGCACTACCTGTACCTAGTCGCAGTCAGCGATGCGGCTGGTGGCGCTGAGCAGCAGGTGCTTGATAATATCGTGCGGTATGCATCGCCCGAGCTGTCGACGATTCTGATGGCCAAGTACGAGACGCATCGTGTCGACTACCTGGTACACGCCGAAGAGCTCGCACATTTCGCGCAGGCAATCGAGATGGAAGCTCGACCGGGACGCTTCTTTGGAAAGGAGGTTGTCTCCCACGTGGATGAGTCCACACCGCGAAATGAAACGCGTACTTGCTATGGATGTGGCAAGATGGGACATGTTAAAGCCGACTGTCGTAGCAGGAGGACTAGCGACAAGAACAGCAGCCGTCGCGGTAAGAGCGGTGGCAACATTGTACTTGCGATTGGCGAAGGCATCAGCAAGAAGGGCAAGCGTCATGCCAAGTGTAATTTGACACTGGCAATTAGCAATGACAGTGACGAAGAAAAGCGACGACTGGATTCTGAACAGTGGATCCAGTCGCCACCTCGTCAACAACGCGTCTCTACTACAAGGTGTGCGAGACTGCGAGCACGAGTGCCATCTAGCCGACGGCGAGGTTATCAAGCTGTCGCGCGTCGGTAGCGTTGTACTGACTGTGAAAGCAGAAGGACATGAGCGAGATGTGACTCTGACGGAGGTCTACCTCGCACCGGATCTATCAAAAAATTCCATGTCGTACGGCAAGCTTGAGCGCAAGGGTTTTGGACTTGTCTACGACGGTACGAAGCGCGCACTTGCGAGACGCAGCAATGGAGAAGTCGTGTTCGACATAAAAATGGAAAACAACGTACTATACGTTGAAACAGTGGCACCGACACGCGCAGGGACACCACACGATGTGCTGATGGCGATCCTAACTCAAGATACGACGGATGCATCAGCCATGAATGTCCAGATTGGCTCGCTCTACCATTTTCACCAGCGTCAGGGTCACTTGGCGTACGACACGGTCGAGCGCATGGCAAGCGATCCAGAGTCCGGCATAACACTCACAGATCGTGCGAGGCCGACATGCATTTCGTGCGCCCAAGGCAAGCAGACGAAGAACGCACAGTCGCGTAAGGACACGGGTGCTAACTCACCTATTGACCGCATTGGTGGCGTCATTTGTTCCGATCTCAAGGGTCCGATGACCCCCAAGGACCGGCTCGGAAACCGGTACCTCGTCAACTTTGTGGACCATAAGTCCAATTACTGTCGCGTCTTCCTCGCTCCAACGAAGGACAAGGCCGCGAAGAAGTTCGAACACTTCTTGGCTTTCTTCGAGCGCCAGTTTAAGTGTCGCATCCACGTTCTAAGGACGGACGGTGGTGCCGAGTACGCGAATGTCGACCTCTTCTGTAAGTCGACTAATTCGCAAGACAGGTCAGCGAGGCACGCAACCAGGCATCGAACGGCAAAGCCGAGCGCATGCACCGAACGGTGTTAAACATGGCGCGGTCGATGATCTTTGCGAGTCGACTTCCCGTGTCATTCTGGGGTGATGCGGTCGAATATGCGACGTAAACTTTCAACCGCAGCCCGACAAGTGCGAACGCGAAGCGAGCGTCACCATTGGAAGTGCTGACAAAGAACGCGCCTGACTTGCGAGACATAGTAGCATTTGGCTCTGTTTGCTCTGTCTACCGCGATCCATGCAAGAACTCTCTGGCGAGGCGATCGCAAGTCGGCATCATCATCGGACGCAGCGATGAAACCAAGGGCTACAGAGTGTTCCTTCAGAAGGAAAACAAGGTTACTGTCACGCAGCACGTGAAGGATATTGAGACGCTCAGCGAGGCACAGAACAATCAGTTACAGAGGGCGCTTGACTACGAGGATCAAGCAGGTGCGACATCAACAGCAACAGCGACGGCCACCCTAATGTCGGCAGACCCAGCTCCGACATTGAAGATACGCAGAGGAAAGAAAAAATCGAAGTCATGGACGCGTGCAGCACACAGGACGCGCAGCGCGGCGAAGCGTTCGCAGGCATCTGGGGTTCAGGAGGAGCCATCACGAGACGAAAGTGTGGTGGCATACGTTTTTTGAGCGAGAACCCAACAATTAAGGGGAAGCGATACGCAGCAGCAAACGCGAAGGCTGGGAGAAAGCTATGCGTATAGAGCTTGAAGCGCTCGAAGACAACGGCGTGTGGCGCTTGATCAAGCGGCCATCCGGAAGCAACACACTACACACCAAGTGGGTATTCAAGACGAAGCCCGACGCGCACGGCGACCTCGAGCGACTCAAGGCTCGACTTGTCGCGTTTGGAAACGAGCAGGTCTTTGGTATCGACTACCAGCTCACCTTCGCGGCAGTCATGGACATGTCTACGGTAAAGGTGCTTTTGGCTCTGGCGGCGACGTGGGGCGTACCCGCTAAACACGGTGACATACCGAATGCGTATGTGAAGGCGGACAAGGAGACTAACCTCGAGATACTGCTACAGGTACCGCAAGTCATGGAAGTCGACGACACGACACTGAAGAAGCTAGGTGCGGCAAGCACGAAGGATCTGGCACTCGAGCTTCTAAAGAGTTTATACGGCCTCAAGCAAGCCGGACGACTCTGGAGCCAGCTCCTGCATGCGAAGCTATGCAGCGCAGGATTTACACAGTGTGTTGCAGACATGTGTCTCTACTGGAAGCGTGACGGGAAGGATACCGTCGTGGTTGGCGTCTACGTCGACGACCTGCTTGCAACTGGCACCGGAGCAGCTGCGGTAGATCGGTTTTTTTGCCAGTATCGCGAGCCTGTCAATCAAGGACCTCGGTCGTGTGAGTAAATTTTTCGGTATGAGAGTGGCGCTCGATGGCGAAGGCGGCTACGTACTGGATCAGGAGGAGGCGATCAGCGACTTGCTGCAAGAACATGGCCTCACAAACGCAAACACGACACTTGCGCCGATCGGTGCCGACTGCTATGAAGTGCAGCCGATCGACAGCGTGCAACTTGAGGCCACGAGCACAAATGGAGCACCTACAATTAGAGAATTCCAGTCGCTCGTCGGATCTCTGCTTTGGGTCGCGCGTTGTACGAGGCCCGACATTGCGTTCGCCGTTCACAAGACGACGCGACAGACGCACCAACCGCGGCTTCACGATTGGAAGCTCGCGAAGCGTGTGGCTCGCTACCTTCAGGGGACTAAGACGATGAAGATTAACATGAAGCCAAGAGATGTCAGGTGCGCGTCAACCAAGCTCGAGTCATTTCGCGACGCCGACTTTGCCGCAGATAAGAGCGACAGGAAGTCGTTGACCGGAGGCATCATCCTCCTCAACGGCACGGCGATCAGCTGGAGCTCCAAGAAACAAGGTAGCGTGTCCCTCTCAACAATGGAAGCCGAGTTTGTGGCGGCGTCAGAGATCGCTCGTGAGCTGCTGGGCGTGCGCGCGATGCTTATCGAGATTGGAATGGCGCCAGAGCTACCGATGTTGATGCACGTCGACAATCAAGCGGCAATTCGACAGCTCGAGGGTGAGGCGTCGTCACTCAAGGCAAAGCACATTGACGTGCGAGTCAAGTTTGTCTGCGACTTTGCTCGGCGCGGTATCGTGCGTGCGCAGTATGTGAGATCGGAGCTAATGCTCGCTGATCTGCTCACGAAGGCACTTGACCCACACAAGCTGGCGACGATGCGCGCTTTGGTGCACCTCGGTTTGAACGGTAAGTCGTAGCCGAGGAGGAGTGTTAGAAAACGGCATTGTTACCTGTAACGGTTGAGGTAAAGGTTGTAGCAACGGTTGAAGTAACGGCTGACGACTTGGAGAAATGTAGGAAGATTAGTGATTGAGTGGACAGCATAGTGGATGGTTGATTGATTGGATAGGAGTGATAAAGAACAAGAACAACTAGTCCATTATCGTAGCAAGAAACGATAACACCAAAAACAATGACAAAATCCTTTTACCACAGCGCTGCAGACTTCTTCTCATCGACTACTATGAGCGAACACAGGCTAGTAAATTTTGGTAGGCCATCGTGACCCGGCGCCTAATTTCACTCAGTTGATCCCCATACTCTGGTGGTACAAGGTGGACAAAACAGGAAGGATGAACTGCAGCTCTAGCGCACTAACTTGCCGTGGTTAAATGAAAGCGCACGATCAACAATCGTGCACGTGTCCTACGGAATGTGTACTGAAGAAATAGAAGCGGTCATATATTTGGAGATAACTGTAACGGGGTGAATCGTTACATAACAATTTATAAGAAATTGTTAATAGAATATAACTATAAGAGTTATATTCTCAGAATATTGTCATAAGGACAATATTCTGTAGCACTTCCAAGTAGTTCCTAATTGGTTGATATAGGCCATTATATCAACCAACGAAGACGCGCCACGACAGACGCACGCAATGAGTGGTGAGCAGATAACTGATTTACACATTTGTATTTAGACATAGTTAGATGAAGATAAATAGTGATTTATTGCAGACATTAACTATTATAAATACAGTTCTACTTTTTACTCTAACCGAGTACTCGCTTCTTCTTACCGTCTTCCTCTGCACGTACGAGTGTACGTGAAGTTACGAGGCACCGCCTTATTCTGTTATCAGAATAAGTAGCTTGTACTGTCACCAGTACAAGCTTCAGGGTGCCCCGTTACACCTGGTAGCACTTCGTAGTCCGTCCAAGGACCGCGTTCACATCCAACATGAATATGTTGGATGATGAAGATGACCAAAGCTTTCACGCTACGCGTGACGGCTACTCCCATTTGAGCGATGTCGAATGGGATGCGGTTGAACGAATGGGTTCGACCATGGGCATCCATGCTGTTAGCGTCATGCTAGAGGCTCTCAATAGAGATGCCCAACATGCTATTATCGCCAAGTTCATTCAAAATGAACTTGACGCAGAACGCGAGAAAGTAGCCTTGCTTCACCAACAAGGTTCTCAACAAGCAGAGTTGTTGAGAGAACAAGGTGCTCAACAGTTTGAACTGTTGAGACAGCAGCAGGCTGCTGCTGGCGGGTCGATGCACTCGCGTCGGCCCGAGACTTTGAAGATTGACATCTCAAAGTATAGGGGGTCGAAGAAGACTCCCTCTTGAGATGGTTCGTCGAATTGGATGACGCCATAAGGGCGCGTCGCATCGACGACGGGGATATGCAAGTTGCATTTGCCCAGTCAAATCTGGCAGGACGTGCCAAGACTTGGGCACTGGGGCTCAAGCTGCACGACCCATATGCGTTTGGGTCGTTGGAAGTCTTCAAGTCGCGGCTCAGACAAACGTTTGAACTGCCTAGAGCTGAGTTCAGAGCTCGAACCGAACTCTTGAAGCTCAAGCAGGGTAAGCGTGATGTGCACGCTTACGCTCAACATATACGACATCTCACGAGTTGTATAAGTTCCAATCCGGTGGATGAACACACGTTGGTTTCGGTGTTCATGCAGGGTCTTGCGGATGGTCCCGTCAAGACTCACCTGTTCCGGCTTGAACTAGATTCACTAGAACAAGCCATTTCAATTGCGGAGCAGGAAGACTTCAGTCTGAGACAGGCTCGCGCCAGCTCGACATCATATCGTCAACCGAGACGATATGACAACGGAGGTCCAGAGCCGATGGAACTCTGTTATGTAGAGAGCGAGAAGGCTCGCTCTACAGGCTACAAGAAGTTGCAGAGATGCAACAGATGTCAAAAGACAGGACACTACGCTTACGAGTGTAGTGCTCCTCCCTCGTCCAGTGTCTCGCGACACTGGGCGTAGTGACCGTCCACCCATGAGAAAGGGGCAGGGACGAGGGTCCGCAGTTGGTGCAAAGACGCAACAACGGGATGGACCGTCAAAAACGGACAGGATCAGTAGGTGCGGAGCACCCTACTGATCCAGCAACGTCAAGAGAATTTGTAGGCCTCTTGATGAAGGTGCTGCTCCCAACACACAGACATTGTGCGTTGCTGCTCTAGGTAATGAGATCTCACTCATTATCTTGAAACTCGAAGTGACGAATAAGTTGTCCCTTCGAGCTCTAGTCGATTGTGGGGCGTCCAACAATTTTGTGCGACGCCAATCGCTAGAAGATGGTCACTTTAAATTCAGTGAATGTGACACACCTCCTACGAGGATGACGGTACGTCTTGCGACAGGCGCATCCGTAATCAAATATGAAGCGTATAGTGAAGATTCACTATACGCTAGAAGATACCCAATACGACGATGACTTTATCGTAGTTGATTTGGATGACAAATTTGATGTCATCCTGGAATACCGTGGCTCAGAAGGTACGAACCACGGGTAAACTGGCAACATCGGACAGTAACGATGCTCGCCGCTTGTTCATCAGATGGCCATCTGATGAACGTTTTGGAGCGTCCACAAGCGTGTGGATGTACTACGAGTGAGTGCGATGGCCTCACTTGTGGTACGGTCGTTAGTACGACTGCACAAAACCTTAGTGTACCAAACGGTTACACTTCGAGCAAAGTTCCGGCGGCTGTGAGGAAACACAGGCTGCGCCGAAGGTCCACCACTCGAATAAGTCGGGTGGACTGGGACAAAGATGTATCCCTAGAGGGGAACATCTAGAAGAGAAACAATCGATCGCTCAGGTTAAGCGAAACGATAATCCTAGATCGACTGGAGAGTCTTTCGTAGAGGATCTCGCTGTGGTTGCGCAACCCCAGCTAGAGGAAGTAAAGGGAATAAGTCCCAAGATTACAAATACGGCGGAAATAAGTTCCTCGAAACCCGCGGGAATAAGTCCCCGGGAAGACGAAGGAATAAGTCCTTCGAAGCCTGAGGGAATAAGTCCCCAGGAAATGACAGAGACATTGAATGTCATAGTCAATAACGGATCATGTGTAGGCGCTTATACACTTGATCTGATTGCGCCTCCGAAGTTAACTTCGGAGATCACTCAGTTGCCAACGCTCGAACATAAAAGATTCTTGCGTGATCTGCGTAGTGGCAAAGTCAAGCAGATCTGCATACTCGTCGCTGAAGACGAGTATGTAACCGACATAAGGTCAGCAACAGTGTTTACTGAGAACGAGAGAGTTCTCAGTAGTTCATCTATGGACGAGAGTGTCCTAGATGAAAAAGACACGAATTGAGCGATATGAGTCCCAATCATGGGAATCGCTCAAGGAAAATCCTCTCATGAAGATTTGGTTGAATTCAAGGATGTATTCCCTGAAACTGTTCCGTGCGAATTACCGAAGGATAAAGGTATTCGACACGAAGTCGAGCTTAAACCAGGCTCGAAGTACTGTGTCATGAAGCAGTGGCCACTGCCTCGTGAACAGAGTACTTGCGATCGACAAGTTCTTTGCCGATCGTTTAGCAGCGGGCCATGTGAGGGAATCAACTTCCCCACATAGCTCTCCGACCTTCTGTGTGCGAAAAGCAACAGGAGGGTGGCGGATAGTGCACGCGTTTAACAAATTGAACGCTGCAACGGTACCGGCTCAGACGCCGATACCGAGGAAGGACGTAATCATTGATGGTATGTCAAAGAGTACCATCTTTTCGTCCATGGATTTGATGGATGGCTTCTATCAAATCCTAATGCGGGAACGGGATATACCCTATACCGCAGTTAGCACGCCTAGCGGCATGCTCTGGGAATGGCTAGTAATGCCACAAGGGCTCAGTAATGCCCCTGCCACGTTCAACAGGTGTGTATCACATCTGTTGAGGCCAGTACGAGAATTCGCGCCGAGTTATTTCTGATGACGTATTCATCCATAGTCGAGCTATGGATGGAAAGTCGGACGTTGAGGTTCACAAGTACCACGTCCGACAAGTTCTTACAATCATGCGAAAGCATCAATTGTATGCAAACCTCAAGAAGTGTATATTTGCAGCAAGCGAAATACCACTTCTTGGGTGCATCGTTGGTAAGAACGGTGTACGTCCTGATCCCGAAAAGATCAAGGCGATCACCGACTGGCCCGTGCCGGTCGATGTCAAAGGTCTTCGAAAATTCCTTAGCTAGCGGCGTATTTGCATAAGTATTCACGCAATTACGCCGAGATGATCTGTACACCTCTCTCGTTTGTTGAAAAAGAACGAGAGGTGGTTATGGAACGCTGAATGTCAACGCCTTTGAGGGTATCAAGCAGAGCTTGATACAATCCCCAGTCCTAGCAATAGCCGATCAGGACAGGCCATTTCATGTGGTCTCGTGATGCCAGCGATTTCGCAATCGGCTGTGCATTAATGCAGTACGACCTTGAAGGCGTTGAACGCGTCGTCTGTTATCAGTCGCGTCAGCTGCAACCAGCTGAGCGGAACTATCCAGTGCATGACAAGGAACTCCTTGCCATGAAGTATGCACTCGCGAAGTTCAGAGTCTATCTATTAGAGATAGACCCTTCGTTGTTTACACTGACCATGCGTCCTTACGCACGGCAGTGAACAGCCCGCACCTTTCACAACGAATGGCGCGGTGGTTGTCATTCTTTGCAGAATACAACTTTACGGTCGAGTACAAACCAGGACGACTTAATGTCGTCGCTGATGCACTCTCACGTCGTCCCGACTTTGAAACAGTCGCGAAACCCAACAGTGAGACAGTCACTGTTGCGGTTATGACGTCCTCAGTTCCATCTACAACGTTGTATGATGATGTGAGGCGGGCATACGCCCAAGATGGTGAGATAGTGAAGTTGTTGTCACATCTCTCCCAACCATCTCGAGAATCGTTGAAACGATTGTCGTTCGCGTATCGATCTGCATCAGATCGATACACTACTCGTAACGGTTTACTGTACTATACAGCCGTTTCTGGTGACACACCACGTGTTGTCATTCCAGATGATACTGATCTGCGTTTGCGGATCATGTTCGAGTATCACGATGCTCCTATAGGAGGACATCGTGGCCGAGAGAAAACATATCTCACGGTAAGTCGAGACTTTTACTGGCCCCGCCAGTATCAGTTTGTGCGAAAGTATGTTCGCGCATGCGAAGTCTGCCAACGAGTGAAGTCAAGTCCTTCACTGCGTGCACCTTTACAGCCTCTACCGGTTCCGGCTGAGTGCTGGGAATCCATCTCACGGATTTCGTCTTCGGGTTACCCAAAGACGCACGCGGGAATACGGGTATTCTCGTATTTGTTGACAGATTCAGCAAAATGGTACACCTTGTGGCTGTACCAGAGACAATCACGGCAAGTGGCTGTGCTTGTGTCTTTATTGACACCATCTTCCGACTTCATGGGTTGCCCCGTGAACTCGTATCAGACAGAGATCCACGATTCACTGCTGATTTCTGGCGTTCCGTGTTCAAATCACTCGGAACGCGCTTGAAGATGTCAACATCTGATCATCCAGAGTCAGATGGTCAGACGGAACGTGCCAATCGTGTCCTTGAAGAGATACTTCGAGGATACGTACACTCCTTTAAGAGTTGGAGTGAGTTTTTGCCGATGGTAGAGTTTGCCATCAACAACTCGGTGCATGCGTCCACGACACATACACCGTTTTACGTGAATGGCTTGCGCCATCCGCGTGTACCCACCTTACTAGAGTGTAACTCTGGTTTAAGGGGGGAGGGACTCGCGCGAGCAAAAACCGATTTGGTTCACGCTCATCACGCTCTGACGAAGAAGTCATTGCGTTTGATGCCGATATCGATAACATCGATATCGAAGAAGATGATGCCAGTGAGAGTGCGGAAGCCCTCACTGAAGACAATGATCCCAGTGAGAGTGCGGAAGCCCTCACTGAAGAAAAGGTTGTTGTCGCTGCAGTGCGCTCACAGCACACTGAAGCTAACGAGTCATCAGATGAGTTCATACTGGCTCGTGAAACGGTAGTCCGTTTTGTGCAAGACTCCATCGCCGAAGCGGTGGATAAGCAAAAGCAAAACGCTGACAAGAATGGAAGGGCAAACACTCTTTATTTAATAAAGGTGACTTAGTCCTACTGTCTACGGTTAATCTACCAAAACATGTAGTGACTAACTTGGGTAGCAGTAAACTACTACCCAAGTACATTGGCCCATTTCGTGTATTGCACCGCCTAGGCAATGCATACACGATCGAGTTACCACGTAAGATGCGAACGCATCCCACGTTTTACGTTGGTCGGCTTAAGCCGTACCATCAGTACGCTGCTTCTTCCGATGAAGAACGCCCTTGCGCTCAAGCATCTCGCAGAGAGCCTTGTGCTCCTGATGGTGGGCATCAACAAGGGTCTGAAGAGCAGTTATCTCAGCCCGAGACCGATCAACAATCCCACGAGCTACCCTTTAGCTCGTCACGAAGAGATGTCAGAGATCTCTCGTTCTCAAGCTGAGCAAAGGCAAACTCAGCTCGATGCTTCGAGGCAGTGTCCACCATCTGGAGACGCCTATTCCGCTCATGCTCGAGATCGTCGCGTAACCCTTGCGTTACGCGATCAAAGAAGCTCTCGGGAACACACCGATCCACATGATCGTGTGGAGAGCGTCTTTCCTCCTCCTCCACCTCCATTAGAGGACTCTCGCGGTGGCCAGCGCTATCTAGTAGAGCAGCTGTTGAACCACCGCGACGTGAACGGACGTCGGACGAGTTACCTCGTCCGGTGGCGCGGCTATCCCCCCGTCCTGGGATTCTTGGGAGCCCCGCTCCCACTGATGGTTGACGTACTGGGTCTGGTCGAGCAGTACGACGCGACACATCCTGTGCCGCAGAAGGACCGCCGGAGAAAGTCTTCCCGGCACGGTCGTAAAGGGATTTCAGGTTGTCAATCCCTTCGTACATCTCAGTAGAGACACGTACGCGCCACCACGGGCTGGTAAGGAGGTAAGCCTCCTTAGGTGCTCGTGCAGAGTTGTTCACACAACATGGGCACGAGTCTCCCCAAGAGAGGCAGGGTAATCCTTTCTCCCTTGACAGACGATGCAGCTTGTAGCGTGCACCTGTCGGGGTTCGCTTTTCAAACTTATCACGAGCTTTGATAAGTTTGTCGTTCCAAGCGTCACGACCTACATCCTCGAGATTATGGATGTAGGCGTTCCACGCCTGAAGTAGTGAGGGACCATCACGTTTGTGATTCCCACTGTACCATCGATGTCTGAAGAAAGCATCGATGAAGAACTCATGTTCAGCGCGATAGTCTTTCGCGCTGGGGTCAAGGTGATGAATCTCGACGAATCGAACAATCGTGTTTCGATAACGATCACTCGTCGTCGCCGACAAGTGATCCATGACAGATTTAGGAGGCATCCATGCCTTTCTTTTCTGGAGCGAGACGCAACACATTGCGGTCCCGCTCTTCCTGCGACGTGCCGACAGAAGTACTGGCACTCTCGCTGTGAAGTGGTGTCCATTGGAGAAACGACACCACTATTAGCGCCCGAGTCTCGCGACCTCGAGCGCCTTCGCTTGGCGATGGTTCATCTGACTCATCAGATGAACCAAAGATGCTGCGACGCAAAAGCATCGTCCATGCCACGCTTGGCAGGCGGCTTGGATTCAATTGCCGTCGATACGGATCCGTCATCCGTATCAGGAGAGTACGAGACACCGAGCTCGTACTCTGTGAAGACACGAGTGTCTTCATGACCAGCGCCTGCATCACCAGGTGATACAGGCTGAGTCGATTCAGCAACCGATGGGACATCAGTTGCTGTAGTTTCTGCTTCGGCGTCCGCACAGAGACGTGCAGACGCGCTCTCGGCGGCCTTGCTCGCGCATCGCATGGGCTTGTTTACCATGCGATGAGATGTTGGAAAGTGGACGCGGACCAACAAGTAAAACCCCGTCCCAAATGATTTGGGACGAGTATCCATTTAGTCAATCAGTCACCAAAGTGACTGATGGTTAAGGGGGGTGATGTAACGGGGTGAATCGTTACATAACAATTTATAAGAAATTGTTAATAGAATATAACTATAAGAGTTATATTCTCAGAATATTGTCATAAGGACAATATTCTGTAGCACTTCCAAGTAGTTCCTAATTGGTTGATATAGGCCATTATATCAACCAACGAAGACGCGCCACGACAGACGCACGCAATGAGTGGTGAGCAGATAACTGATTTACACATTTGTATTTAGACATAGTTAGATGAAGATAAATAGTGATTTATTGCAGACATTAACTATTATAAATACAGTTCTACTTTTTACTCTAACCGAGTACTCGCTTCTTCTTACCGTCTTCCTCTGCACGTACGAGTGTACGTGAAGTTACGAGGCACCGCCTTATTCTGTTATCAGAATAAGTAGCTTGTACTGTCACCAGTACAAGCTTCAGGGTGCCCCGTTACAATAACGGAGTAAACTGTATAACTGAGTTGGTTGTACGTAGTTAATCTAGATGAGGATCATCAAAGCATACGGGTGATCCTGAAAGGACATAGTAAAATGGATTGGCTCACGTAAACGTTGAAGTACCGCCCGTAGCTGTACCGATCAGGACATGGAGTCTTCTAAGTCTGTAGCCTAAGTAGTTTTCATCGTTCTCCTTAAACGGACGTAGGCACCAGCAGATCTCAAGAATTCTGTTGGAGACCACATCCTGGATGACTGCGACGATGACATCAATAACGTTGCTAGTGATGCTGTACTAGACGCGTGCGAGAACCGTCCCACGATTGTGACATTATTGTGCCTACTCACAGTATTGATTGAAACGTGATAGTAGCTGCTCCGACCACAACTTTACCATGACATAAAGCAGGTAGGGGTCACAAGGTTGAAAACATTGCGTGTACAACACATGAAAGCTGGAGCGAGTTTTGCATGTTTAGCCAATTCTGATCGACTATAAGCTCTGCACGCAAGAATGCCACGGGTGTATCTCACTAAATAATAGTCGAAGGAGCATGTAAAACTCCAGGATAATGACAAACGAGGTAGGGTAACCACTAGAAGCTTGGGGCAGTTTATTTATAACACGTGGAAGGGTCCTAGGAGAAAGTGCACTAAAGGTAGTACACGTTTGTTGACGATTCGTTGTCATTCCAAGATCGATAAGATGCAGGGACATGAGAAGCCAAACACGCTTGCTTGCTGAGTCATCGAGCAGCAAAATTCACGGTCTGTCTTGATGAATTATGGGCTCGCTATTTAAGCCCCAGCGGCCATCGTTAAGCTTAGCATATTTGCATCTAAAAGTGAACATCAAACACGCGAAGTCACAGCAACGCCTACAGAACAGTGGTGTTTACTTTTGCGGATTAAAAGACTCGAGATGCTGAAGATGTTATGAGTAGGATGAGAACAAATGCGTGGTAATATGAATTTTTTCACAACCGCTATTGTGGTCAAAGAATTAGCATCTGACCATGACTAAGAACTCGCAGCTGTATCTTTACATCCGCGCAACTGTAATGATACGAAAGCAGTTCGCATCGTGGTGTTTACCTGATCAGCACTTCCCCTGCGACTACTCATGGCGATGTATTTTGCAGAGAACCACAAGTGTGCGAGCAGCTGGTTAATTTAGTTGTAATGAACGCGAAGAGTCATGTAATTCATGCGTAGAGCTTTGAACACCGAAGAAAGCAACTTTTATTATTTCAGAAACTGATTATTGTGTAGTAGCAATTTCTTGAGAAGCAATTAAGGAATCAATCCGCAAAGCATCTACCACCCATAGAGCGTGGAAAGCACTCTTTAACAAGTGCGTAAGATTGCTGACTAAAATGAGATGTAACATAAAAGTCTCAAGTGGGATTTTATGAAAAGGCAGGGGAGCAAGCTCTGGAGCTCGTCCTTTGATATATTTATAAAACAGTTCATAGAACTGAATCAAGATCTTTGCATCAACGATTTTTGCGCTCAGTCACACCAGACTTCGTCCTTCTCGGGCTCGCAAATGATGCTTTTTGACTAATAAAGAGGGAGGAATACTACATTGCACTTAGTACGACGTGTAAGATACACCTGGCGTTGTTCACATACATAGGAGGCGACATACTAAATCGCACTTAGCGTGACGTATGGTTATCCTAGCGTTATTGCAGACATACAGAGAGACAGACCAGGGATGATAAATCCTGTCGTTTTTGACGAGACAATCCAGCTTTTTACTTTATCACAATGCAACCCAATTTAAAGCTATAAAAAATGGGCTTATTCGTCTGGATGAGCGGGGGCCTCCCGGGAAGAATTACTGCCGAAACCATCTTCAACGTCGAACTCGTCGTGCGCGTAGTTGCAGAAGGTTAGTACTTACTCTTGATTAATGTCAGTGCACCAACTCGTTTCGGTTTGGCAACTTGCTCTTGATAGACGTCAGTGAGTCAACGCGTTTGGGTTAAGGCAGTTCATTAGGTTTAGGTGAATGAATCCAATAGTCGATAAGTTTCTTAATTTAGAGGCGGCAGTCGACGTCGCGATACCGAGATTTTGCTGGCGATCTGGCGCAGATCGGGCCAGTACTTGCCACCCACCAAACAGTACTGCAGTACAGTGTCAAGCATCTTGAAACGCGTCGGGTCCTACGACTTCTCTTGTTCCGCCGCAATTACGAGCTCGGTTCACTGAATGTAACGGGGTCACACGTCCGTCATTGTCTTAAAGTGATATACATTGCACATGTGATATTCAGCCCCAAGCGTGATCTGTGATAATTGATGTGGCTGATAACCTCAGTCATCCATTGATGACAGACTGATGTACCATCCTTTGATCTGTAATGGACTGGAGATTGCCATGCGAATTAGTTTGACCTCAGTATTAGGTGGTTGAATGAGGTTTATTACAGATCAAACTTACAAATAAAGCTCAGTTCCCCTTTAACCGTTTGTTGCTGCGTGTCTGCTTTAGACTCCGGCAGATCACAAAAATTCAGAGCCATCTTGTGGCGTAGACTCTCGATCACCTTGTGCGAGCGATTCCTTCGAATATTAATTATCTCCTTAAATCAGGGGCAGAAGCTCTACGATCGTAAAGACTCTAAGAGTCTGAGTTGACCAGTTTTAAGAACTAGAGACTCTTTAAATTTATAGGCAATTAGTTCCGTAGAACAAGGTGACTTCTAGAGTCATAAGCCTTACTCTGACTAAGAGCTGTGTAGCTCCAATTTAATGATGGCAATGACATGCGCTCGTTCATCGAATGAATCGCGGGCTTATCTTTTACAGGGTACTTAAACAAGACTTCTCCAGTTGTATGCAGTTGCCCCTTGGCAGTCTCTCTCTGATAGAACGTCCTCGTTGAAGTAAACGACACATACGTCGAATTAGCTTGGAGAGAAGCACGATAGCGAAATAGTAGTAAGTAAGGCTAGAAGGTGTTGTTATTGCTAATATAGTGACGACAGATTAATTTTTGTAGGCTTCCTTACAGTTGCAGGGATCACCGGACGGCTGGATCGTGCTTGAGTCGCAAATTTATCGGGAAACAAAATCGAATAAAACCTGATTTTAGACGATAGTTGGCTTTCGGGTTTTGAATAAAAACGAGTAAAACCCGATTGTAAAAACCGCTTGTTTTTGCCAGCCCTGAGACAGACATGCCGACGGATGGATAAGTACGATTTTGAAGATTAGTAGACACCTTGCGCACTATCACTAATAGCTTCACCCTTCGGGCTCGCGATGTTTCAATGGTGAGCTGGATTGCAAAAGGCTGCATATGTTCTGCTCGCGTACATTAATGTGTATCAGGGTAGACAGCATAAAGGTAGAGGAGACACGTGCGATGTTTGATTTGAATGATCTGCTTGATACCTGTGCCCGTAAAGATGAGCTACCTGAACTTATTTTCATCGTTGAAAGGTAGATAAAAGGAAGGAGTACGTACGACGAAAAGGGTACAATAAAGCGATGTTTTAGTTTCACAAGATAGCTGCCAAGTAGAGATATTACGATAAGAAACGAGCGGTTGTCAGAACACATCGGGTATAATCACCTGAACAATGTACACTGTGGGTGTGGTACCGCAAGTACTCAGGCAGGTGGGTTCGAGCTAACGATTGACATCAGCAACTCTACGAAAACCACAACAGCAACCAATTGCAAGTTTATTTCCATGTAGTTAGGACATGCTTCTACAATCCCATTCGAATGCCATGTTGTTCAGCGAATTTAATAATCAGCTGAAGGATGCTGTCACGCATCTTTCCTTTGGTTTTCTCGGCAACTTTAGTAGCCATTTGAACCAATCTCTCAGCATTGACTGCGCTCAGATGGATCTTGTCCAAAGAGATGGCCTTTTTGGATAGCAATGCCTCGTCAGCTGTGACTTGAGCCTTCGTAATTGCCGTGGCAGCTTTTGGTGCCGAGGCCGATTTCTCAAAGATGCGCTCGATAAAACGAGCGACCCTACTGGTCGTTTGTCCATCGACTCCACCGGCCTCTGCTGCGTCGGATCGGAGGAACCTGCGAACCGAGACATCCGTCTCGTCACCATCAAGCGCACGGGCATGAAGTAGTTTCGTGTTGGACGCGAAGACAATGACGATAGGTAGCAATACCGGATGGAGTAGACGCATTGCTTGGTGGGTTGACAGACTCGAGCACTGCCTACGTGAGAGAAAATGTGGAAATGGGATGAAGTACCAGCTTCGGAAAAGCATTATGCCAGTCATCCATCGTGCAGTCCGAACTCGGCACTCGACTCGTGTTCTTCGTCGTCGAACGTAACATCCCGAATCAGAAGGTGCACGTAGGTGAGGGTGCTGTTCTATATCGGTGAGTATTCAAACAAAGTGAGACAGATCATTGATACCGCGGTAGTCACCTTTCCTGTTGACTGACGACTGAGTACACAGGTATCGTAAAAGGAGCAATCGCCCTATGCAAATGACGGAGTCTCTTCGATCATCATTAGGATGTATTGGCTTCAGTCGACGGATTATGTGCATTTTCGGACACAGCTCCCCATCCGTTTGGCATACGCCATGGGTACACACACGAGGAAAGGACACACGCTGGACCGCGTGGTCATAAACATAGGGGACGAGGGAGACGACGCCATACCAGGTGGAAGAGCCGAGTCTTGATGCATCAGCCGTAAAACTCTTCAGAGATGCTAACTACAATATTAGCATCGGAATCGTTCGCTCGTTAGCCGCCGTTGTCGATTGCATACTACTTAGCAGGGTCCAACCGATGCTGCGACACCGCAAAAAAGATTACCAATACGCATTGTACCGATTACGATCAGTAGCGAGAATGATAGCGCAAGATATTATCATGGAGACTGCGTCGTTAGAGTTAAACAACGAAGCAGCACTAACAAGGCAACATCGGCATGCACATCCCTATGTACTACTTGATATATCAAAATGTAAAAAGTGAATGGTTTTGCGCCTCGCTAGAAACAACAACAACATAGCTTTTTAATTTCTCCTCCTCCTCCTCAATCTCTTTCACGACGTCGGTCGATCGTTGTTGATGTCGATGCACAAACAAGGTCAATCGTCTTCTCGTTCTTTTCCCACCCCCTCCCTCTTCAACACATCAATACCACCGTCTCGTTGTGGCATCATACAACAACCACGACAACGCTGTGATTACTACACCTCACAACGGTCGACTCATGTCCCAAGGCCAACCCAAACCATCCAAATTCGCACTTGAATACCTAACACGGGCTTCAATTCTCTGGACTAGTTAATACCTACATTAAAAGGCGAACTCCAGAGTGTGACTCTCTATCTAGCTCTTTATTGACTTGCTGGACATCTGGTTAAAGGATCTCAGTGACTTATGCGGGCTCTGATCCTGAGACTTCAATCGCAGTTGTTTGCTGTATTTGATCTGCTATGAGAGCAAACGGTCGGATGTCATAATCGCTTCTACATGCAAGGCACCATCCACCCCAGGCACAATGGTTCACGTGCAGTTTCTGTTTACGGACCGCTCGAATATGCTCACTTTCGCGCAGGCACGTGCTACATGTTTTCTAGAGGGAACCAATCTCGTGATGTATGTGCGACCTACGATTAAACGACTCGTACACGCGATAATAAACAACAACTCATGTGTACGTGGTAGAGGTAGGTAGGCGGTAAATCCTGAACATCGATTAAGTGCTCATGCCGTATACGATATCGGTATGCTTCTGCCTGGACTACCTCATTCTCCTCCTCGCTGGCTTAGTCTGCTTGGCTCGGCTCTTCGGTCATCACGGAGGGCACTTCGTAGAGGGCACGTGGAATCGGAAATCCAGTCCGGGGCGCAGACATGGTGCTGAAGTCGCAGGAAACGCCGGGGACCAGACCGATCACCCCGATGGGCCACGGACATACCTGGACTGGGCCAATCTTGATCACGTTCTGGGCAAGTTCGCTTCGTGAAACTCGGGACTGAAGCTCGGCAACCGGTCCGACAACTCGAAAGCTGAAGTAGAATAGTAGGTACTAGGTAGGGGGTGACAACTGCTTTTGCCGTATCCCTCACCTCGGATTGTCTAGGGTTTTGCTCCCATTTCGATTTGCACGCCGCGCGCTGCCCCCCACGCAGCGGCAAGAACGCCTCTCCTCTAAGTCGGGACCCAACAACGGGGGACTTCCCACCCAGGGTATGGAGGCCGGTCACCAGGCTCTTCGGAGTTCTTCGTCGCTCGGCCGTTGTTACCAGATGGCGCAAATCGGGAAGTGCAAATGCAGTAAAGGTACCTGCGACGCACGCTTCTACAGGGAACTAATCTCGTGATGCGTATGTAATGGACGATTGTACGATACCTTCGTAGCTCGGGAAGTCTCGTGTACCGACAACCAGCGACATTTCTGCGAGCAAGTCGCAATACCAGCACTAAATTCCAGCAAAAGTAGCAATACCGGCAAAAGTCACAATATTGGCAAAAGTTGCAATACCAGCTCTAGCACAAAACTAATGTGTGCCACGCTATTTACGGTCCTGTGACTGAATAATATGAGTCTCAGGTGCCATGAGTAAAATTGACATTGCATAAATACTTTCGTTGCACTAAGATGTCCGGCGAAAGGGCGGCGATCTTAGGCGCGGTAGTGCCCGACACCCTTACGACCGAAACTCCCGGGCGAGGATCTATTTCCTGTTACCAACTGGAGCTACAGCTCATATCTCTTCGTATCATCATCTCAATCAAAGCGAACTTTAGAACAGTGGAGATGGAAGACCTCGTGTATATCGAATAAATACAACTTCTAGATGTATGTTGTTGCCGAATCCAGATCGACAAACCGGCTACACAATCGTGACCGATGATTTTACGATGCCTATCGGTCGGCGGCTGCCGTCGAAATAATCATCACATGCTGCTATACAAAAGCATTGGAAATGTCCTCTTGAAGTCGGACCATGCTAGGTGCTTGCTGCTCTCGCCGCAGCAACGACGTGTGTCGTGGTGTGTACTGCTACTTACCTCTCGCACGGCCCATCCGACGCGCTCGCACGATTGTCGAAGGGAGGCGAGGACACGTGACTAGCTGTAGCCATATCATTTAATGATACGAAAGTAAAAGTAATCGACATGAGCAAATACACGACACAGAAAATGCTCATACACACGTCAATACATCAATCATACAGAGTATGAACGGTTTCGATAGCATAGCACATTAGTAAGGTCTCATAACTGTGGTACCTTCGGCTTTGATACCATTTACATCAAATAGCGCACGACTTAAAATATGATCAATCACGAATGGCGCACATCTAAAATGTTACGGTTGTCAGTGTTATCATCCAAGTTGTACAACATATTGATGGCTCAGCATCATGTTTTATTCGTCGCCTTTCTGATCTTCCTTTTGCACGTCGCTCGACATGCGCGAGATGCCTGCACGACCCCGACCCCCCATTTCGGTTTCGAGAAATGGAATATCTACGCCGAAGTTGGGGCGGCCTTAAGATGGGGGGAAGGGGCGGCCTGTCTCGAGTGGCCAAGTACAGATTGAGGAATGGAAGGAAACTATATGGTAGATAGATTTAGTGTAGTACATATCCAATTTTGTGCTGAAGTGGTGCTGGTATTTCGACTTGTGCCGGTATTCTAGTGCTGGCATTGTGACTTACTCCATTTCTGCACACTTCCGCGTTAGAGACATACATTTGTGCTTGCGAGAAGTCAACGCTTGCATTGTCGACCTGTACTTTCTAATCGGATTGCCATGTTGTTGCTACGATTGATCGGCTACGTTCGTGAAACGGTTAGTACCCATACTTACTGCTTCACTGACACGGACAGTGTTCAGAGCAGCACTGTTGTCCGTTAAAAGGTGCAACGGTTACCATTTTTATAAGCACGAGCTACATGTGCGTACGTTATGATTTTATAAGTGGAATATAATCGGACTTTAAAAATGTTTCTTTTGTGCTTGGATGTCTCTTAGACATGATAAACATGGTAGCTGTAGTGTCATTTCTGCCTGGTGTGATCTATTTCAAATACCCTTATGGTTTGGGATGACACCGGTGCGAAACTTGCAGTGTCATAAGAATATTCTTATGCTTTGCACATGTGTGGCATGCATATCGCAGTAGCGTGAACTTACTTCGCCGCATTTGAGACATCCTGTAGAACACGACGCAAACACAAGTCATATTATCAATAAGATTGCTCGTCATACATGATTTAGGCCAGGTGTATCGACTCGTGGTGCTTGAGCGGAGACTTAAGTACCATGCTCTCGTACCAGCGCAAACACTGCGTAAAATGTCACCAATGACACGATTGACACGTTCATTCTGGCCATCGGCCTGCGGATGATCCGCTGTGAACATGTCCTACCTATTACCCAGCAAATAAAGATAAGAGTCCAAAACTTAGTAGTGAAACGTGGATCACGATCAGAGATAGTTGTCACAGGCAAACCTTGTTGACGAAACACACAGTCCAAAAACATCTTCGTTGTACCTTCACCATCGATGGAATTAGGCACAGCTGCTAATGATCCAAACTTGCTCAAGCGGTCAACAAAGACCACAATACAAGTTTTGCTTTACGAAACCTTCGGTAGGCCGTATACATAGTTCGAACTGATGGACTCCCAACAACTAGTGGATAGGGACAAACTAGCAAGCGGTACAAACGCGTGTGCTGAGGGTTCGACCCGTTGACCCGTTTCACATGTACGCACATGTGTGCTCACCCATCTGTACAACCTGGGCCACCAAAACGTCTAGCTAACTGAGCTATAGGTTTTTCCACGACCGAGACGACCGCTCAAAGCAGTGTTATGGGCCTCAAAGAGGATACGATACTTCAAGTCTTCATCATGAGGAGCAAAGATGCGAGGCACATCCTCAACACCCGTGCGATAGCACAACAATCCACTATCGATGACACATCGATGTAGGCTAGCACGTGAAACGTGCCGAAAATGTAATGTCCGAGTCTTAAACTCATCGCTACATAGATCATGTAGCAATGCTAAGCATTGCTCAACACGTGCATATGCCGCACGAAGTAGATCCACAATGGATGACGACAGAGTCGTAACATGATCAAGCTTGTGCGTAGGTCTGCATAACAACGCTTCAGCCAGAGCATTTTGCTTGCCCAACTTATACTTCACCTCGAAGTTGTATTCAGCAAAGAATGAAAGCCAACTGGCCACACGCTATGAGAGGTGAGGCGACTGTGTCGCCGTGCGCAATGACGCATGATCTGTGAAGATCACAAAAAGCTTTGATCCAAGGAGATGGACTCTGAACTTAACAAAAGCATATTTCAGTTCGAGTAACTCTTCGTCGTGAACTGGATAGTTCTTCTCTGCAGCTTTGAGCTGACGAGACTCATACGAAATGACGTGCTCATGTCCATGTACATCTGTCTGCAATAATGCACAACCAATAGCAAAACCAGACATGTCACAGACGACACCGAAAGGCCACTAAGAGTCAGGCAAAGCCAAATTTGGAGCATGAAGAAGACATTCCTCGAAAGCTTTAAAAGCTTGAGCATACACTGCGTTCCTAACGCCAAACTGCATCCTTCTTAAAGGAGGTTGGTCAATGGCCTTGCCATATCAGCGTAATTTGCGCTGTATTTGTGCAAGTAATGAGAAAGGCCGAGCCATTTACGCAAGTCTTTTTGGTTCGACGAAATTGGCCAGTCAACAATTGGCTTTACCTTAGCGGGATCTGCTCAAATCAGACTTTCCAATGAAGCACCCGAGAGAAAGAATATCGTACGCACCAAAAATGCATTTCGATGCATTTGCATGCAGCTTGATCGTGCGCATGCAATCGAGCACTGCTCGTAAATGGTCAATGTGATTTTCCACATCAGACCTACAATGTTCTGCAAGAATATGGACAAAGATTTCATCAGTATGCTTTGTGCATATCCTCGGTGAGGTCGGAACAATTGCTTAACAAGACGATTGAATGTATCCAGGGCATTAGATAGCCCTTGAGGCATGACAAGCCACTACCAAAGCATACCGCTTGGAGTACTCACCGCTGTTAGCGGAATTTCAACTCGCTCGCATAAGCAAATGATAATACCCATCGACCAAATCAAGTGCATTGAGCTTGGTACATCCTACCATGTTGTTTTGAAGAACATACTTTTCCAGAAATGGCATCTGTGCCGGTATATTGGCTGCATT